AAATAAAAATAAAAAACTAAATTCCCATACTGAGATTATTATCTGAAAATTGAGGTAAGAAAACAAAAACTATCATTAAAAAAACAGACTTATTAAAGGGAATGCCTGTTAATTAAACCTGCAATGTTTTAAATACAGTTTAAGTTAGGGGGTTTACATAAACTTCTTTCATTAAACCTTTCAGAAGAGAAAAAACGTAACATGGTTGCAAGATGTTGATGTTATATATATAAATAAATAAAAAATGTTAGAAATGTAAATTTACTGTCATTTTTACTATTTTTCAAGGCTGCACTTTTAAAAAGATGGAACTGTCCAGTGAGCTGTTTCCAAATTAAATTTATTTTTGTTTTACACATGTGTAAACAAACTGACAAATAAAATCTGTCTAAAGTCTAGATGATTCGAGATAATAACTCACATAATTTGATGTTTTGCCAACTTTTTTGATTTACCGACAGGCTAAAAAATACTCAGCGTCTCACATATAGCATAATACGGACAACATTTTTGTGTGTTTCTTAATAAATTCTTTTTTTTTCCAGCTTTGTTTTTTTATTTATTTATTTTTATGCTATTGCTAAGGTTGTTGTTGTTGACTTCTCCTTTCAGCTTACATGTCATTAGCAGCCGTTAGTACATAGTACCTTAAGCCTATTAGGCCTAAACTGATGTGTAGAAACTGAGGTATCTATTTTTGAACAGATTTTAGGTGAGATTTAAGATGAATTCCTGCTATTTTAAAAAGTTTAGATATGTTTAAATTAGAACACTGTTTGGACACTGGTGAGATATAGGAAGAAAAACAAATTGCATTTTTAAATGCTGTGATGATAAAAAAAAAAAAGCTGTTCATACTGTATCAAAGTGGGGTTTTGAACATGCATCTAACACTAACTGGAATAAATGAAGTCAGATATATGATGTTCTAGCAATACACCACCTTACAAAAGTATTCATAGACCCCCAACATTTCCACATTCTGTGTCATTAGCAGAATTGGTGCAGATAAATATCAGAAAAGAAAGGTTTATATTAGTTTCTATTTTACTTGAATTGTAACTTTTATTACAATAACAGTTGCAATTTTTCGGGGGTTTATCTCCACAGACACAGTCCTATGAAATCTGTTTACTTTTTTTTTTTTTTTACCTAAATTCCTTTTGCTTTGTTTTTTTCTGAATTATGCTTTTTCTTAACTACAACAATATAACGTGACAAAAATGTTAACTTAATTATAGCTGTACTTATAGAAATAAAACAAATTGAAATTATATGCTTTTGCAAGGTATTTTAAAAGTATTTTTACCCCATGCTTTTTATATAGAACTAAAAACATTCTTCATGTGAAAGAGATTAGTTTCCAACAATTTTGCCAAAAACCTAAGTTGCGATTATATTCAACCAATATTCTGATTGCGAAAAGTTACTTTATATATATATATATATATATATGAAGTTAGGGCCACTGGTGTAACTGCTTTGTAGAACAATAATCAACCCCCTTCCCACATTTTATATACACCGACACTGCAGTGAAATACAACACTGAAGGAGCATTTAATGTGTTCTACATATTTTAGATATTTTTATAGTGTTTCATGTATTACTCTTGTATAAGTTTAAAAAAAAAATCTAACTGTGTTTTCAAACTGTGAATCCCACCACTGTCCTTCTGTGGGTTTACTTGCTTATATTGAGTGTTTTTTCTATACCTGCTATGAGTTCTCTGACCCAGCAGAGCTTCAGACAACTTAATCCTGAACCTCACCAACACTGGATGTAAATGCACTCTTATTTGGGTCCTACATGTACCATACATAAATAAAATCTTTGCCTTGCAAGGTCTGAATGTGGTGGGTAGAAACATGTGGAATGTGATCTGTGGTTGCGATTATTGGAGCAGAAATCATATTCTGGTGACATTGTGCCTGCAAAGATTTTTACTTAGTTGTGTTAATTTAAAAAGCGTAATTTCCTGGGTTCCTCTGCACAGCACCAGCCTTTCACACAGTATATTGATAAGCAGCGTCTTAGTATTTGAACTACACTTAGAAGTTCATATTTTAACCCATTTTCCCTATTGTGATGATGCTGTAATGGGTATTCCTTCAACAATGCATGCACATGTCTGCAGGTATGCACTTGCAGAGGAATTAAACTACATTCAGTTACATGTACTTGAGCAACATTTTGAAAAGCAAAAACTTACGAGAAATTGTACTGCACCATACTTCTTGGTTTACTCAATTAATATTTTTGCGAGGTATATTGAGTAAAAGTTCTGTCTACTCTCAGTAACTTGAGCTGACCCAAAATCAGGGATACTGTCAATGGATATTATTTTACCCTGTTTTAGCTTAGAATTTAAATTTTCTTTTGAAAAAAATGAATTTGTCAAAAGTATTTCTCTGGAGTGAGTTTGTTATTTTTTTAATAATTTAATTTTATTACTTTTTTTATGTATATTATAGTCTTTGGGTTGCTCAGTGGGGCAGTGGATAGCACTGCTGCCTTGCAGCAAGAAGGTTCTGGAGTTATGGAGTTATCCCTATCCCTATCCCTGAGCATGCGTGGGTTCTCTCCGGGTACTCCGGCTTCCTCCCACAGTCCACATTAATTAGATTCTCCTTAGGTGTGAGTTTGTGCGTGAATGGTTGTATGTCCTGTTTGTCTCTGTGTTGCTCTGCGATGGACTGACGACCTGTCCAGGGTGTACCCCGCCCATAGACAGCTGGAGAGAGGCACTAGCACCCCTCGTGACCCCAACTGGGACAAGCGTGCCAGATAATGGATGGATGGATTATAGTCTTTAAAATACCAGAAATTGCACATAAAGCCTGCTTTAATTTTTGGTGTTTTGACCATTCTAAACGCAGATATATCACATTCACACAGGTATGTTGGGGTGAAGGGGATTAGTAAGCCTACTTGTAGTGTTTCCTTGGAGAGGTGGAGGAACTCTGTTTCTATAGACACCCAATCTAAGTTAGCTAGAAGCTAAATTACTTTTTGCAGTTTATTTTCTTCCCCGTTCACAAAAGCCAGGGGATGTGAGCCCACAATTTGATGGATCTAAACCATTCCACTGTAGCTCTGGCTCTGTGTTTACTATCCTTCTGGCCTGTGATCATCCATCTCACTCTTAACGATATTATAGCTGACACTAGGCTCGGACTGGTAATCTGTGATACAGGGCATATCCCCAGTCCGGTCCTAATTTCAGCGTGCAAAGGCCTGCCGTCCTTAAATCATACCGGCCCCAACACTTACTCTCTTACCTAAATGATGCATGCAGTATACAGTATATAGCCCTCCCTTGTCATGCACATCCTTGTGACGGTTGGCATATGGTGTAATTTTCTACTTCTTCAATTTGTAAAATACAAACTAAATTATAATAAAATTAAACGCTTTCTTTAAACCAAACTACGATGTGCCTCTTGTATTTGGTGAATTTATGTTTGAATATTTTTGCAAAAATATGTTGCAGTGCATGATGGGGTTTTGCATCTGTTTACATTATTCCATTTCATTGCCCACATGCCACCTAGACTCGCAGTGAATGCTTACACACCTCTGAGCTTTCATGGATTAATTCTTGAAGAACTGCCTGTCTGCCTATATATTGTTTTATGTTAGTGTTTTTACAACACTCTGGCTTACGTTGTAGACCCAGTATGTGTGAGTGGGTGTCTGGCTGGCTTTATGCAAGAGTGGACGTTACGCTGCAGCAGTCACTGTCACGTCCGTGTTATTAACCAAAGCCAGTAAAATCACATTATAGAAGTCTTGGTGATGGTTTTCATGTGATGCTTGAAGATAGATCGGTTAATCCACAATGTGTATTTGTATTGTGTTTCACATTTGAGACGCACGCGTTTGACTGTGCAATTTTTTTTTTTTTTATATTTTGCCTTTTGACCAAAAAGCTATGTTTTTGTCTGCCGAGACATATTCATTCCGTATGTTTAGTCTGTGGCAAACTTTACTTTAAATGAGACTTCCTATGGCTCTCTTTCTTTTTGTTACCTTGTCTTACAGGCCAGGTTTGTCCTTAACTAATTGCTATTCTGTCAACAAATTATTAACCCTGAGCTGTAGACCTCTGCAGGTCTACTGCCTATTTGATGAATGCTTTCTTTGCTCTTTCTTTCAGTTTAAGTGGCTGTGATTGTGGTTTAATGATAAATGTTTTCAGTAAGACGATTCTTTCGGGTTAACAGCTGCAGTCCTGGATAGTACTAGATGTGGCTAATGTTGGCTAAATTGAACTGAAGATTTTCCACACTTTTGCGATGACACTTTATCAGAATTTCCAAGGATTATTCTGAAGATGTGGTTGAGGAGTCCAGCATTCTGGTAGCACAAAGGAGAGGAAATGCCAGGTGACCAATTTTCAAATACATGTCAGTCAAGATAACACTGTAGTTTCTAGAAAAAGGTAGACCAGCGACAAAATCAAAAGCTCAAATGATTCACAAAGAGACCTATTCCAGCTGTAAGTAATGATATTGAAGCTTAAAGAGTTGGAGGAACTTGCACGATTAGACAGGTAGTTGGTAGTTGTTTAATGAGTTATCGTTTCGCAGGAACATGCGTCCAAGATGGGTGACAAAAGTCTATAAGGAGAAATCTGTACTGAAATGATCTGTTTTTTAAGCCACTCGAGTTATATATGTATTTAGGAAGTAGGAGACACACACACACACACACACACACACACCTGCTCACAGCTCTGTGGATATTACAAGTTGGCCATGTCTTATGGGAGCTGCAGCTTTTCTCTCCTCTTCTCACTTTTGGATAAAACCATGCATCCTTTTTCGTCCACTTCACACTTATCTTTTACTTTCAGTTGTTATATCTGTAAAAGCTTGTAGTTGTGACATGACAAAATGTGGAGAACTTATTTGGGCATTAATCCTTTTTTTAGGCACTGCAACTGTATTTAAAGGAACAAAATTGATGTTAACAGACTTTTTACTTTTGTTTTTCAGCACTGCCAGTAACTCAAATAAGAGCTCGCCCACCTGCTCACCAGTCCTGCGTAAACGTTCGCGCTCTCCAACACCACAGACCCAGGAGGGTGAGAACATGGTGGAGAAGGGTTCAGACCACTCCTCCGACAAGTCTCCCTCCACACCTGAGCAGGTCGTCCAGAGAACATACTCTGTGCAGTCGGCGCGTAGCGGCGGAAAGAACTCCAAGGTGAGTCATGGGGACTCTCCCTCCCTTCCTTCTTCGCAATCTTTTTGATAAAGTGTGGAATAAACACTGTAAGTCAGCACCTTTTAGTGGAGATTCCCACTAGAGAACTATCTGTCGATAAAGCTTCTCAGAGCCCCGTTACTTCTAACTTTGTCTGACTGGACTTCATCTACCTTTTTGTTTGATCTGAGCAAATATTAAAGTACCTTTTATTGCCTGTCATATAGCCCAAACTACAAATCTAATACTCTACAACTTCTAGATGTATTTAGGCATGAGAAGGTATGAATATCTGATAGCATGATAACTTTAAATAAAATGAAATAAAAAAAAGCTGAATTAAAAATGAGGGGGGAAAAAAACTCTTGCTGAGTTGTGGGCGGATCTTCAGCATTAAAGCAATAGTGTAGAGCAGGGTTTACCAACCCGGGGCCTGCAGGCACCAAAGGGCCCCTCAAGGACCATATGGGTCACCCTCAGCATCTTGTGAAAAATGAACAACTTACCACTCGATTCAATTTAAAAATGTATTTTAATTATTTATTGAGCAATTCATCATATTATTCATATAAGGCATTTAAGCATTTATAGAGATTTTAAAATGACAATAGAAATTAAAAGACACAGTATTAAATATGTTTATTATGTGTGAAATGTAGGTGAACGCAGACCCTTCTAATACATTCAGTATTGGTAGCCTGTCCTATGACTCAGTACCCATGAAGCAGCCCTCAGCCTTAAAAACTTTTGGAATCCCTGGTGGAGATTTTATAGCATTAACTCTAAATTTTTACTTTATTGCTCTGGAATGCAGAATATCTGTATATTTATTGGATTGTTGTGTACTTAAAGCACTTTGCATCCCTTCCTTGTTTGTGAAGCGTTCTTTATAAATAAACTTTTATTCGCTTACTCAGTAATAGTTAATGTGATTGGTGATGAGAGCTGTTTATAGGTCACAGGTGTCTCGTCAAATGTACAAAAAGTGAACAGCTACAGTAATTAAGGGATTTGTTATTTTTGCCTTTGAATTAAAAAGTAACCAAATAAACAAGCGCAGAGGAGAAGTTGTAGCCTATCCAGCACAATCACTAATCTTTCTGCCTCAGTTACATGTCAGTATTTGTTTCCTAATGCTAGAGATAGCTTGTTCATTTCAAGACAGACTTTACCTTTTGGAAATTCTGCTTGGTGACACTTAAGCTGTGCTATGATAATAGCTGCGTTGCTTCCTCTGTTTGCCGCTGTCCGAACGCGGGTAGGGCATCTATGCCGCTGCTGTCTGTCTTTTTTGTAGCAGCTAAAATGTTGCCATATAGGGAATCCTATTAAGTTTCATAGAGAGGTGTGTGGGTTTCGCCTTGTCTGAAAGGGCTAAAGATCAATGTGCTCCCCCCCCTCCCCTGCAGCTCCTGCCTCATCATGCTGCAGCTGCTCACAACCTGAGCACTCTCTATAATAAGGTTTATTTAAATGAATGCTTCTACCTTGGAAACAAGGTTAAGGAAAACTTCAGCAGTTTTGAAACAGTAACTTTTTAATCCAGGATATACGTACCTGGATGTATTCCTCCCCAACTCCCTGGAGAAGTGATGAAAATCAAAGTTACAGCATTGCAGCTCCCTGGACTGGACTTAAGCTCCTGTCTTACTTAAAAAATTATTTAGGTCTTTGGTCTCAACAATAAGAACAAATCTACTTATGCAAAACACTATACTGTCAATGCATCCGGTGTTTAGCTTAAGGGTAAAACACATTTTTATTAGAGTGTTTGTGTTTTTTGCTTCATATTACCAGAAGCACTGGGTCAGCCTTTCAATCATTGAATTTAGTTTTGAGTTTTTGCCTGCATGGTCACAGGCGAATAGAATCCAATACCTGTATGTATGCCGACTGCCGCCGAATCAGAATCATCTCTATTTTTTATTTCTCTATGAACAAACAAGGGATTTTAATTTGGTTTCCCTTCCATACATTGATAACTATTAGCTAAACACATACAAAACACAGAGGAGGATGAAGGATAAAGGAGCAATACTATGTGTTTTTATAAACAGTTAAAAATGAAAGGCAGCTGTTATGTGGTGTACTTATTATTTCCACAGCAGAGTAGATGACTTCTCAGGCTGTGATGAGTTCATTGGAGTTTAAGTTTAGTCAAAGAAAGTAATCTTGTGATAGCATGTTTTGTTTTTTGTTTTGAGTCTAAAAAGTCTATGATTAAACTCTATGCAGCTGAAATATTTTAGCTTTTTTATTCCTGTACAAGTCCTGGATGAAGGTTAGATCTTCCTGATGATCTTTTTAGTAAACCTAATTATTTAGTGCATTTTAAGCCTCTCCTGCCATTTGGATGCAAATATGCATGTGCAGCGAACAGACTGACAAATGGAACAGCAGCTACTGTGGACGCTTGTTTTCTGTCCAAATTGAAGTCTCTGTTGGGCCTTCTTCTGAACGTGTTTATGTGTGAGGGTGACCTCAGGTCCTGAGGAAGGGTGGTTCCTAGGAACCAGAAATGATGTACAGTTCTTGAGTTACACATACATGCGTTCTTATTAGTGTACAGGGAGAAAATGAGTGGAAAGACAACAAACCACTGTGGGGGACCAGTGCTAATAGTTCTTCTGCCTGTCAGCTAGGAAGCTGATCGTCCACTGAGAGGTGGGCAGACACCTTGAGCTGGAGAAGCTTTTAGGGGAAAAATAGTGTAAAGACCAAGCTGAATTCCACAAACAGGATCTTGGTGTACATTCCTGGATGGTCAATGCTGGGAAGGATGGGTTTTTTCCCCCCGAGTTGACGGCATTCACTGTCGAAGCATGTTACATTTAAATTATTCTTAGAACACAGTGTTGAAAGCTTTAGGGAATTTCCATTGCCAAAGAAGTTACACGGAAACCTTAAATTACGAACTTTGCCATAAAGCGTTGGTGGAAGTGCTGTAAAACAACACTACTATTGGACTAGAGCAGCTGAAACATGTTCTCTGGAGGGATTAATCATAACTATCTGTCCAGCTTTCTAATGAATGTCTTCTTGTCTGCCAGTTACAAAGGCAACAGGATTTATCTGACTATAATTGCCAAGTGTACATTTTTTGTTTTTTTTTTGCTGAGGAGATGAAGAAGTAGACATAGGCTCTCAGTTTCAGCAGAAGAACGTCTAAGTGCCTAAAAAAAATAGATATTTTGGTCTATTTCATGGTCCTGCAGTTACTTTGTCGGGCAAGTTTAGGGAGGACCCCTTTCCTGTTTGATGTAATGTGCTAGTGCCCAACGAAATCTCTATAAAGACATGGACTGAAATTTTCCAAAGATGTCAATGTAGATATGTTTTATGCATACTTAATTTGATGAGGATCACATGTGGGTAGTATATATTTTAAGTCTTTGCAGGGAAATTAAAATATGGATGTTTCAAGATGCCTACAAATGTCCAACAGTCACCTTCCAGTGAGGAGTAGATACAGAATCATGCTGAAAACAGTGTTCTGGTCGGGTTACATTGAAATAAAGACTTTTGGAGAAAAGGTATATTAAAATTAAGAAAAAGAAAGATATCTCTGTACCAGAAGAATAGAACAGGGTCATGATAAGTCTAAGAAAATTTGAGAATAACATCCAACCTTTGTTGTGCCAGCTGTGATGCATCGTGGTGCATCAGGCTAACTCAGGCAATAAAGATGTTATTGATCTCGCATTCAAGAAAACTCTCAGCTGTCAAAGAAATCTTAAAGATTTGTTGCTTTGCAAAAAATTTATATGAAGTCATAAGGATATATACATCTACTATCAACCCTTTGCAAGACCTCAATACCCTTTAAATCCCAATGTTTTGAACTGATCAAGAAGGACTAAAGAAATATATATGTGTTACTACTTCTACTATTATTGAATTCCTCTCTGGATGGTTTTCTGTAGGTCTGAAACTATTTTAATGCAGTTCAAATGAACTAATGTAATTTGATAATATCAATATTCATTCTGTATATTTTTTCATCTCAGCTGCAAATTTCAGCCATAAATCATCCATCCTGACCTCATCCATCACTGCAGCTCGAAATCACTTTCTGATTGTGTTTTCTTTGAATTACTGTTGCCTCTTCAACACATTGTGCACACCTTCTCTCTTTGCTGCTCTGCTGCTGCTACATGTCACATAATAACATGTTTCATCTGATGAATACTGCTCACCTCTTCTGTTGTTTTTTCTGCTTTCTTTGTTTCGCCTACATTTTTTCTATCTGATTTTGCTTTGTTCTTTTCTTGTTTGCATGCTAGTCTCACAAGCGACTTTCCAAAGTAAGCATTACTCTTTTTTTCTGTCTTTCCCACTTTTCTGTGTCCTCTCACACACCTCTTGTCTTGTAAAATGCCCTGAGGAGTTATTGAGTGTTTCACTTCTTTACCTTCCCGTCTTCCTCAGTTTGATCCTGCTATCTTCTTTCTTTACTATTGTATTTAATTTTAGATCAACCAATTGTCTTGTTACATATTTTAATATATCTTAAGATCTTTAAAATTAAACCTAAATTTTTAGAATTTTGTTGACGAATCAGCTTTTTTCTTTAAAATGTATATATACAACCAAAAGCAGAAGTATATAACCAATAAGAAGGTCTATATTTAAGTCTCATTTGGATGTACAGCATATTTCTTCACATTACCTCCCCTCCTCTGTTTGCTTATGCATTTGCCCCTTTGCTTGTCTTGACACACTAAAAATATCTGTTACTCTTTGTTGCATAACCTCTTTACTGCAAAAATATAGACTCTAAAATAAACCCTTCACCTTGTCCAAGAAAGGTCACTCAATTAATTAAGGACACGGTGACTGCATAATTGCATTGCAACCGTTCTTTGTCTTATTAGGGATTTGCTTTTTATAGCATCATTATAAAAAATCTGTCTCCTTTGAAAAGTCACCAAGGAATGCTGTCATGTTTTAGTCTTGGCATGAGTTTAACCATCAGATTGGTGTCTTAAAAAAAAGTTTTCACATTTACTCATGTTGCAACCCTAACTTCATTTTGAGCGGTTCTCACGCAATTTACCAAAATAAAGTAGCACATATCAAACGTAAGGAAAATTATCACAGATCCCCAACTGGATCGTGGTTAATGCTTTGATGGAGCATATCTGATGCAAGATCAGGCCTGTCACACATGTAAATCAGTTAATCGCATAATCAAAGTTTATTGCATGATACATTTGAATGAGCTCAATAATTTACCTTTGCATGCTTGTTTGTTTTCCTTGTGTGTCCCTCTGTTTCTGCTAAAGAGTTTAAATGACACAAGGTGTCACTCCTGTGCAGCGGTCTCCCCCAAACCCATTCCCTTGGCGTTTTCTTAGCGCAATCAGTATAGCATTTCAGCCTCATAATTGAATAGTAGCAAGTCAGAGAAACAGTATGAGATGAGAAAAAAAACAGAGATGGATTTGGCTAAATGCAACTTTGGATTCCACCTGAAATTAATATTATTGTTTATTGCAATAACTCCTGAAACTAACTTTGGACAAGCCTACCCAGGTCTTTTGGTGCACTTATAAGCGTTTTATGAAGGATTGCCCATTATTTAGCTGGGAGACGTTTATATGCTGATCATAAATAATGCTTTTCTTGTCTGGCTGTGGGATGAGTTGGATGGCCAAACTTTGTTTGGTCAACTGTTCCATAGTTATTCCGATTTTAAATCACGAATTGAACTGCAGTCGATGATATTTAAAAAAAAAAAAGTACTATGACTTTTTCCTGACATAAACCACTTTGTTAAATTCATCCATTCTATGAGGCCTTCACAAAGCAGCTGTATTATTGAAATTAAGTAACTACTAATGTAGTTTGATCAATTGTAAAGCATTAATGGCCATCAAAAGGGGGGGGGGGGGTGCATACACATATTTGCAAACCATTTACCATTTATCGTCCTACCTCCAAATTTCTCACATAATTCCCATAAAATATATTCAGCTTTATAGTTGTAAGATCAAGAGATGTGAAAATGTCAAGGAAGTTAAATACTTCTACAAATCTTTGTAACTTAAAGTTTCGAACCTTTCCGACTTTTTATTGATAAGACTATGTAAAATATTTGGGGGTTTATTATATTAAGCCTCCTAATAAAATTCCCTATTTCTGGCTGTAGTTGCAATGTATTTCTTTCACATGTTTACTCATATGCTTTTATGAACTGATCTTGCCTATTTTCTGTGCCTCAGTCAAAACCTGTGCTATTGCATTACCCACACAAAAACCTCTTTGGTGCACTGTGGTCACATGACCCATGAAAGCATGAGGTCATCCTGGCAACGTGAGTCCGATCATCCTAACACTAATACAATCCAAATTAGAGAGCATTCAGCAGAAACGGTTGGCCTGTGCCTTACCATGAGAATGGATTAATGATGACAGCAGTGACAGTAGCACAGCAGAAATCAATCAGGCTTCTCATGTAACAGCACCGGCTATATGAAAAGTGAAATTTAGTAGAACACTAACATTTCTGGAACCTGCTCATTATTTTTTTTTTTTTTTTTTTTTTTTAGTTGCATTCCTTATACCGTTTACTTTCCCATCTTTCATGTCTTTCTGTCTTTCCTTTTCACTACTTTGGTTAACTTTGGGTTTTCTCTTTAATTCCCTTTCAGTATGACAGACTTAATCTGATTAAAGTAAGGATTTCTTCTTTATTCACCTGACCGTCTGACAGACCCTGCTTCCCCTTTAATAAATCCCTCAACCCAACTCTTCCTTTGTAGTGTAGCTGTGCCTATAAGTCCCTTCTGTCTTCTCCAGTGCTCCCCAGTTTCTAAATTTGTTCTTGAGCTGCTATTTATTTTGAGATCTTATATACTGTTGTAGAGAAAGCATTAGAAACACTGTGATTTGCAGAAATAAAACTACTTAAAACCAATGCTGATTAATACAATAGAAGAATTTTGCTGTTTAAGTTATTATTTATTAATTAAATTTATATTAAAGCTTTTTTAAACACGTATCTCTAGACCAAATTGGTAACTACTACAAAGCAGCAACAAAGAATATTGTATTTGTTCATCAGTAAAGATAAAAAATATTCATTGTTAAGAAGGAAGAGAGAAACTGGAACCTTGGTCAAACTAAATCTCCATCCGTTAATTTTTTTTTTTACACAAGTTGTACTACTTAACTGCTAACTTTTACAGGCCATTAGAAAGATAGCACTTAAATAATCCAGTCAGCTACCGCTTTAAGTTATGCAATCATTAGGATTCACCAAACCGTTATTCCTAGTTAATGCTAAGCTATATAATTCTTTGATTTCTAACTTACTGATACATATTTTTATAGATTTAAGTCTGGTTTCATGAGGGCAATTAAAACACTAATAAAAATAGATGATTTGAAAGTTCTTTGATATTCCAAAAAAGTTAGAAAACAATCCGCTCGACTTTGTTTCCAAGTTTGAAGACATTTCGCATCCCATTCAGGAAGCTTTTTCAAAATGTCAGGAATAGCATTGAGTTTGAGGCTATATATAGTAGTCCAACAAGCCCTTGTTCTTTGATAGCGGTACAAGATTTAAAATAAGCTGAAGTAATTACAGGATTATTCTTAAATGTGTATCTGAGCTTGTCTCCCTAATCTTTCTCACTATCTTAAACTCTCTAAGTTTTTATCAATCTGCAGGCTCTTAGTGGACACTCTTAGAATATATATGTCAAATAACTTTTATTTTTTTATTTTTTTCAGTTTCTTAACCTCCCATTCGCCACTCAAAGCTGATTAAGGCAAAATTTATTTAGTTTTTGGCCAAGTGATTGGTCCGTTTCTAACAAAGACTGCTTATGATGTACTCCTATTTTTTGACTCACTGGAGGCCCCTTATTACTGTAGTGAATTAATTCATTAGTTTCTTTGATTTTCCTAAAGATGCTGCCTTTATGTTGGTATTTGTAACTATAGCAATGAATGCTTGTTTGTTTGTAAATCTGCAAAAAAAAAAAAAAATACTAAGAGAGTACAGCTGAATTCTGGTTGAAACGTATCAAACCCACAACGTTAATGTGGTCACTGACACTGTACATAGGGGACTGATGTATTCTTCCCCTAAAAAACTCTGATAGTTTGGTTTGGATTGTTACAGTTGCTGTCTGGACTCGTCCACCTGTAAGTTCCCCGAGTCTCACTGAAAATAAATGTATTTCGATAGTATGATTGATTGCAATTATGTCTTCTGTTTAGCTGTAGAAGCACACTACTTAATGTAACAGGTGTAGTGAAGTAGACTATTCAATAATAAATAAGGTTTTATCTTTTAACAGTATGTGACACTCTCACCTGACAGATATAAGACTATCATACCTTTTAGCTATAATCTTTTGCATCACTTTAGGCTTTGGAATAAACAATTCAAAATATAGTGAGTTTAACATCTGTTTCCATCCCTCATCCCTTATCTAAAGCTTATCTTGGTCAGCATGTTGCATTAAATAATAAGAAATCCATTGCTATTTATTATGTATATAAGTGTATTAATCAAGTAATATTTGTTACTTGTCATAGCAATTAGCATATCCCTCTGTTTGTATTTCTCCTAAAAATGCATGTAGAGGAAGAAGGAGTAGAGTGCTTATTTTTATTGCAATAGTGCTTTGCTTTAAAAACAGCCAGAAAAGTATATGTCCTTTAGGGGGGTTGTCTTCTTCTTAAAGTTATCCTGTTCACTGTTTCTTTCGTATAATCTTAATTCCTTAAAAGTAGACCATTTATCCTCAATCTAATATAATTATTCTCCTGGAAAAATAACACTGGGTCACATACTACAGCCTCTAACATAGATGTAGATCTTATCCAGGCAGCGGCCTCTGAGTATTTCCACGCTCATGCCTCTGTCACCTTCAAATCAGATTAGCCCACATTGGCCTCAGCAGTCGTCACAGTTAGGCCTCAGGCCTGAGGCTGTAGCTCCCTGTTTCTGACGACCCTATCAGAAAATAACCAGAGCTTCATTTCAACTCTAACCCCTCCGCAGCTGGTAGTGCAAGCTTTTAAGTCAAAATAAAATATAACATATAAAACTTTTTGTTAAATTATTTTAGTCTATTTTAAAGTTTGAAAACTAAACTCAATTACATTACAATTACAATAGAACAAACGTTTGACATTTTTGGTTCTTCAGTTTAGGGAAATCATTTTTCTTAAGTCAAACAGTTTGGATATAAAAGGATGGTTATCACTAGTCTCCTGTCACGCCGTTTTTCATCCTTTTATTCCCCTTCTTCTCCTCATGTATGATCCTTTCCATGCTTTATTCCCAATACAAACAGCTGCATGTTATTTTCTTTTGGTCTTTTGTTTTCTGCAGTTATACTGCAAGGTCTCTATATGTGCCCTAAGATGCAAGCACATGTACATTGTAAAGGATTTCTCTGCTGCCCTCTATTGTTAGAAAACTGTAACAAAGGGAATAGCTTGGGAATTAAAGAAAATTTGTCAGCTGAAAGGAAGAAGTCATCTAGAATTTAATTTAATATTTAAGTTAAAGAACACAATGAAAAAAGCATCTATTGTGGGTTAGAATGTTATGTGATACCTGTTGCTCCTAAAGCTGTCGGCAGATACAAACATGTCCACAATTGAATACAGATTTTTCTTTTGTAAGCAATATTTTATTAAAGGAAATTTCAGCAGTTTATAAGAAACTTTTTTGAAGTATTTTTTGACAACAACAAAAAATGAAGACACATTTTGGTTACCAGAAAGCCTTTTGAAGGCCCATAACAATTTAGAAGCAAATATTCATTTGATTTCTCCAGTACATGAAAGTTAGCAAATTTCCAATCCTTTTAAGCCAGTTTTCTGTCAAACAGCTTATCTTAAGAACATTTTTAGTTCACTGTGAATTATATTATGTGACCTGGCCATAAGATGAATAATAATGTATTTTGTTATTAGCTTAAATACATTCAATTTTCCCTCTTTTTTCCTCTTTCCACAGAAGAGCCAAAGCTGGTACAATGTAAGTAATCTATATTTTCTCTATCTATGTTCATCATTTAAGGTGCGTGTTTGTGTGATGTTATATATATCATTAATGTGGAGTGTCCTTTTAGGAAGATCAGAGGTTATTTTACTTGATCCTGTTTAAGCCCCAAATTACTACTGGCTAACTGGTCCTAAAGACAGGGATTAGCATGGGTTTAAAAAAAGCAACAGGTGGCCTTTTAATGCAGGGTAACCAGAACATGGAGATGCCATCAGAGCCCAGTAACTTAAACATAATGATTCCTCTGGCTAAGATTAATTTTGAATAACAGAATAGGTTTCATTACATTTCTTTTTCTATTGAATTTTACTTTTATGCCACTAGGTGGGGTACTAAAGCTAGTTTTGAAACCATGTCAGGTTATCCTCTTCAGAGCTGAAATTTTGAGAGGATGACTATGATGAAAGCAGAGATATCTTACAGAGCAGGAATGAGATGGATGAACTCAGGTTCGGTCAATGTTACAGTGCCAAAGCGTTCACACCTTTTGTTACATTTTGGGCATTTTCTGTTATTGCAATCCCAAACTTTTGATCCCTGAAGTGACAGACCAACACAAGATGGTGCATGATTGTGAAATGAAAGAAAATTTGATGTGGTATTGGATGTTTTTACAAATAATAGTCTAAAGATTGCAGATTTTACCAATTTTTACTCTGTGTATCAGTGAGTTCTTCCAAATGTTCTCTACAGCGACCCCTGGTTACAAATCGTTGCAACATTCACTCAGACTTCGCAAAGTTTTTATACCAGATACGCTTCAACTGGGATTTAAAGTAAAGTTTCCTGTTTCTATGCCCTCTGCACCAAAGAGGGACTTAGCTCGCCCACTCTGATAGTCCAGAGAAATCCAGTCCAACCAGCTCGCTTAACAACTCACTGAATCAGTAAACAATGAACTAAGCAGACAGCGGGGTTATGAAACAGAGCTAAATCACCGACTTTGAAAATCTAATGGACCACGGTTAAGTCTATTGTTTGAAAATTACATTTTAACCTAATGAGACATGGCTATCCATCTTAAACAGGAGTCTGCAACCTGCAGCTCCGGTGCTGCAAGTGGCACCTTGGTGCCTCTATAATGGCACTCCATAGTAGCTAAAAATGGTAAAAGAACCAACCAGTAGGTTTTGATACAGTATAATTATAAAATTTTTGTCATCAACTTGGAAACTCAGAGTCTCTATTCTTCCTATAGAAAATAATGTATGCATCCTCTTTGAGATTTGCTTAAGTTTGGTCCTTATTTTAACAGATTAAAGACTGACAGAAAAAAAGACTGGCAGAAAATGCTTTTTTTCTAAATTATATTAGTTATTTGTGTTGTTTATGAGACTTTAGACATTTCTGTACAATGTATGATGAACTTTTTGCTCATTGTGCGTGTCTGATTGTATATATCATTTTTTTATAAAACGAAGATATCACATTAATGATGTAGAGGTCTTAAAAACTCAATTATGACACACTTGATATGAAAGGGTTAAATAAGAAAAAAAAGATTGTTTCTTGTTTAATAAAATTACAAATGATTTCCTATAGCAGATTTCCTCATGTAATATGTGCATAACTGAGTTTAATTTAGCCAGTCTGCGGGTAAAATGGCTCTTAAAATTTGAAAGGTAGACGACCCCTGATCTGAAAGGAGAACCTGGGAGGTAAGAGGTTTAATTAGAGAAGGTACCAAGAGGGCCCTCGTAATCCTGCAAGCGCTGCAGAGATCCACAACGCAGGTGTGAGGATTTATGGAAAACTACTGGTTGCTTCCTCTAGAGAATGACCTAAAGAAGAGTGGCAAGGAGTACGCACCAACTGAAAAATAAAACAGAATGAGCTAAAAACAGTTTCAAAGTACTCTGTATCGGGTGAGGGGGCTCATATTTTGCATTTTTTGTCACCAAAAAGTAAAGATGTGTTAATTTCTTTACATTTCAAAGTGAACCACTGCTTTGTGTTGGTTTATCACATAAATTCCCCATAAGATACATTGTTTGTTTCTTAAAGTCATCATAATGACAGAAAATCTGCCCAGGGGTGTGTGAATGCTTTGGTGGCATTGTAAGCCATTTTTGTCCAGGAGTGTTTTTACTGCAATATCTCCCCGTTTTCTGTTTTATTTGTTTTTTATTCCCTGTGTGTACATTCTTCCTCTTTCTCCCAGCATGAAAGGCAGCACATCATGAGAGTAAGCATGACTTGTATTCTTGTGCAACCCAGATATCTTTCTCGCTCTCTAGTTTTTTCTGCAGAGGGAAACTTTAATATCCCCCTTCCTGTTTCTCATTCCACTAACTTTGCTCAGTGTCATTATCGCCAACTGCAAACCCCAGTTTGGAGGAAGTTATTTGGATATGTTAGAAATTACAAAATGTTCTCCAATTATGTCTACATGAATCAAACTTCTTCTTTTCTAATGGTTATATATACCAAATGGATTTGTTTTTAAAAAGTTACTTGGACTTATTTGTAGGTCTGTCCCAAAATAAACATCTATTAGTGGTGTGCAACAGGTGGCGAGAAACACACTAAGCTCCACGTTGTACTAAACAATTTGGTAAATTGCTGGAAGGGTTTCTAGGCGTGCCATCTGAATGGTGCATGGTGGTTTGAACTGAGGCATGTTTCTTTTCTGACTGCCTTCATTCAGCAATGTTGTGCTAAGCATTTGAATTTTGAGTCTTAATGTTTGAAGAGATGAAAACTGAAAAATGTTCACCATCAATTAGAGAGAAAGAAGGGGAAAAGATAAAAAAAAAACTGTCAAAACAACCCAAAGAAAGTAAAGAATTTAAATAAAAAATACATTTTTCACTGTTGAATCTTAAGAAGGCTCTAAGTCAAGCTTCCACATGCAAAAAGAAGAAATAGGAGTAAAACAAAAAGAAAAAAATGGAAGTAAGCATTTTATTACAAGCAATTATTAAACTGAAAAAGGCTTTTCATCAGCTGATGCAAAGTTCAAGACCACAACTTTTTAAAACCCAAATCTTCACAAAATGTGGATTTAATGTAATTTTCTGTCAGATATATCAACACTGTTATGACCTCCTGATGGCAAACAAAGTTTACTCTTTATAACGCAGTCAGATTATTCAGCCATATAAGCAAGGCCTCTCCTAGCGCTCCTTTGCTCCTGAGGGTGGCTAATCATTTTTAACTTCTTATAACATCCTTTGGGTTATGACACAAAAAAACTCAATTGGTAGACCCACAAAAAAGTCTCTGGCTCTGAGCCGGATGATCCAGTTGGCTGCTTGTCAAGATACCAGACCACCCTCGGTCCAAATTAGGGTCTTCACTGGTTCCAACTGCAGTCCCACAAACATTGGATGACATCTAGGATAAAGAGGTTTTAAAAATTATAATCATCTTCAAAGGCCTTGTCTTCTTCAAGGGCCTTTATTTTGTGGAGAGGTATCAAACAGCAGCTGCTACATGAAGATGATACAGGAGGCATCCCTTATGACTGAAAACCATCGTCTGTGCTGTAACGACTGGGTTTTTAAATAAGACAACAATAGAGTTCACAAAGCTCTCCAAACAAACTACTTGTTCCAGAGAAATAGAATCACTCTGTTGGAGCATCCAGCCTTTTTCACTGATTTTAATTCCATTAAGAACATTGCAGTGGAAGCCCTTCATGATACCCTGCTCAGCACTTATAGCAACATTCCCTCCAGCCTTCTGGAAAACCCAAAAGCAAGCATAATAAAAAACTGTTCAGGTGTTTATCAAGAAAGGAGCAGCCACTTATTAGGGAGTCCTTTCTGAATATATCCTTATCTTTTATGGGATGTGATCTTAAAATTTTGATCAGCTGATGAACAGTCTATTTTAGTTCAAATCGATGTTTGGAAGCAGTAATAAACTGATAACACATCTCTCATATCTTTTTTACTCACTCTTGACAATAGAGCATAACAACTCACAATTTAGAGTAAATGCAGCTGTGATGACAAACTGCTTGCCATCGTCTAAGCTGCACATCTTCTAACACTGCTAATAGTCCTAACTCAGTTTTTTTACATCATAAACTGCTCTTCTATGCTGTACTCATATGGCAGATAGCACTAATTATATGCTGCCACCGACATGATAATCAAGTGTTTCAAGCCTCAGAAATCTAAATTGTTTTTTTTTTTCCAGTTGTCTCTTATTCTAGCCAAAAAAAAAAAAGAGAGACAGAGAAAGAGATTTTTTCCTGAAACAAGGTACAGGGTTTAACACATTGAGCTCATAGACACCATTCAAAGTGCAAGAATAATATTTGATTGTTTCAAAGGGAATGGTGTTTGTGGTCAAATTTCCGTTTCATTAATGGGTGTCATTTGTTTCTCTATTCTACTGCCACATAATAAGTGGACTTATTCATCTTCAGCATCAGCTGTTAACTGAAGTTAAACATGAAACAGACCGGCTCTTATTACACACTGCACTGATTTGTAATATACTGTCCCAAAAACATTTTTCCTTAAATATCATTATATTCAGCTGTTTTACATTAATAGCTAATTGAGCCATTAGTATTACTCTGAACAGCATGGGTGTTTTGTGGGTGACACCCTCAGACTGACACCCAACTGTGTCAGGCTGTCTTCTCTCTCAACCCAGTGGGGTTTGATGAATGAAAATATCTTAGTTATATTAAGGTTATTTTTATTGGAAAACATTGTAATAGCCGGAGTCTTATTCTATAAAAAGCCAAAGATAGGATTTTTCATATGGTCTTGAGTGAAAATGAGCCTCTTGTTAATTAAGAATAATATATATATATATATATATCTACATGTGTATATATACATATATATGTATATATATATATATATATATATATATATATATATATATATATATATATATATATATATATATATATATATATATATATATATATATACATGTGTATATATACATATATATGTGTATATATATGTATATATATACACATATATATACATATATATATATATATATATATATATATATATATATATATATATATATATATATATTCAAATATATACATATACGTGTGTGTATTTTTTTTCAACAACTTTTCTACTTAAAACAGTAGATGTGGCTGCAGATAAAAACTGTCTGTATTTAACAGAAGAATGTATAGTTTAAAGGCATATGAAATAGATTACCCTAACAGAAAGGTTCAACCTTTAAATTAAGTTTTTAGACATTATCTATGCATATACTGTATATGTATACATTTGCAATATGGTATTTGTCTGCTGAGATTCTACCATGTGTATGGCTCTAGCATATTATTTTGACCCTAACTATTTGAGTTTTAGGTGTGAGGGCCAAGTGGGCTCCACATAGAGCGTTACAAAACTTGGGATGCGTGCCACTGTCCACAATGATGCAGTTTTCCTTCTTTGTTTTTTTGTCAGTCCAATAAAAAAATCTGAAGTTTAGCAAGTGTCCATGAGCCTTTCAATTGGCTTAGATTTCAGCTGACTGTTGTTAGAATGTTGTGGAAAGACACTCAGATAATTTAAGATAGGTCTTACAGTATAATGGCAATCTAAAAAATACAGAGGAAATGCATATGAACATCTGAATTTCAAGGAAGTAAGAAATAATTATTGTATTCTTAATAGGAAAAGGTAAAAGTGTGGTGTAATATATGTATTTACCTCCTTATACTACAGTCATACTTTTTTTTTGGCCTCTATATCTATAACTATTAGACCTTACCTGCATGTCAGCCTGTGTGTGCATGCATGCAAGTGCACCACCTTTAAGCATTAATGGCCTCCATTATCTAGTATACCCTTAGAATTAAATAACCAGATGTTCTAAAATAGACCATCATTCCATTTTCGTCTTCTAAAAATGCCTGTTTGTTTGCTTTGCATCTACATGTTTGTCGCAGTGCATCTTTGGTTACCAGGAAGTTAGCATCCAGAGGGCAAACACCAACAAGCAGTAAAAAAAAGTGAGAACTGAACCTAAAGTTAATTAAGGTGGTTTCTATTTGAGTTAATAAAATTAACAGGCCTTTTTCACTTTTACATTAACTTTCCTACATATTAATCAGATGAGCAGACGATCCTCCAGCACACGCCCTGGATTTCTGTACCAGTCTCCTGTATCCCCTACTGTTTGTTCAGCAGGTTAATAATAAACCGGATCAATACACACTATGTATCCGCAGCCGTACGTCATCCCTCGGCTGATACTGTCACCTAAATTGTGGGCGCTGCATTAGTCATAATGGCTCCTTTCTTTGTTGTGTTTATTGAAGAAAAGGCAAAGAAAAAAGAACAGATGTAACATTGCGGTTAATTTTAACATGAAAATCCTCACTTCCAATTCAGTTAAAGCAAAGACGTTCTAGCAGCATTGCAACTTTAACTGTAGTTTTATCTCTCATAATGTCAGCTTGAACGGGGGTGCTAAAAAGAAAAGTGTGCAGATCTGGATTATACATTTAGTTTGTCCAGCAGGAGGCCCAGGAATTCAAACCGTTTGCTTTTTGTTCTTTTTCCAATCCCCTCTGAGACCTGCACAACTATTCCATACCTTCCTGTTTCGAGTTCAACGAAGTTGGGTAACGTGCTCCTGGAATGTTTTGAAGGGCTGCAAAAATAGAAAGCACTGAGCTCCCTAGATCTTCTCAGAGGGGGTATCAAGTATCAAGAGAATGGGGAATGGTCTCAGTTCCAAGGAAGGAAGAAGCACTTTTAGACTTCCCGCTGGACTTGGTTTTTGGTTTTAGCTTTTCTGTTTTGCATCTATACAGTGCATAGAAAAAAAGTCGCCTTCACTGTAGGTCAAGACTCCCTGTCCAGACTCTGTTAAGATTGATAGTGTTGTTTTGCACGTGGAGGTAACTGTAGGTTATGCTTACATCTATTCTCAGTAACTCAGCCACTCTATGCAGAAACATACCGAAACAGCCAGAAAACATCATTCTCTTTTCTGAATCAGTCTCCCTGCTCTCAGCTGCTATATGTCCAGCTGAGTCTTTTCCTGGATGAGACCTCACCACAAAGTAAACTTTCATCATTATTTGCTGCTTGTAAACAGAGTGATTACAACAGAGCAATCCAACCTGGTCAGCACCACACACACCCAAAAACACACACACACACACATGCTCTAATCACACACTTACTTGGGAGAGTAGGCAGGAAAAAAAAAGAAAACGCTTGCGGCATGATAATAAAGGACTTGTTGGCTGGGGTAACTAGAGGGCAACGGCCGTAACTCCTCTCCCTGTGTGTGTGAAAGGAAGCGGGAGAGCTCTGCAGAACCACAAGGCAATACAGGGATCATGTGGCTGGAGCTGTGAGCGTCCACTGCTCAGTGCTGAAGGTATTCGGTACCCGAAAAAATAGCAGGGGGGTTATTGAGGGTGTGGACACCCTGGCCTCTACAGCCGTGACTAAGGAAAGCCCCAACTTTGGAACATTCAGACACCTCTAACTGAGCTGTCGGTGAACATGGAACTGGATGAGGATGGTACGATGTCGGAGTGGGAGGCCGTGCTGGAGCTGGATGAGGCGCTGGCAGGTTGGCTGCTGCAGGGTCCGGCTAGAGGGGAGTGGGGCTGGGAGTGGGGATGGGCTGCGTCGAGCCTCCAGGACCCAGAGTGGGACGATGAGGATATCCCAGCTGTAAGTTGACAACTACTTGTAAACAAGCAGAAATGTAGCTTTGTCTTTCAGCTTTGTTACTGAAGCTCCAAGCGGATGGAGCCAAAGAGATAAAGTGAGCAAACAGGCTTTGTCTTTATCGCCATGAGCGCAGCTCTGTGTACTAATTTCCAGGCACTAAATAAAACCACTGGTTTGGTTATGAGTCATATCTGCTGGAATCCTGTTTGAGCTCAGAGGTCTGTTGTTAATAGACATCGTCAGGTTGCTGTGTGGCCGACCTAATATCCCAACTGTGTTACGAGTATCTGGTTGTTTTTAGAGGCTGCAGAAAAGGTGGTGTACGCAGTTCGTTAGACAGACATCACTCACACTCTCAGAACACTGTTTTTTATTACCTCCTTCTTCTTAAACCTGAAGCAGCTGAGGATTTAACCAAACAGTTCTTTATTGTTGCACTAAAATGCATATGAAACCTTTAAGCCTGAAATGTATTTTTCTTTTGAGTAAACCTTTCCCCACTCTATTGTCAGCAACGGTTTCCTGAACATTTCCTGCTCCAGGGAAGCTTCTGGCATACATTCCAGGAACCCTCTCTATGGAGCAAATTTGGAAATTTCACACAGGCTTGTATTGGAGGATAGTTTTCCTAGAAGGGGGGATAACCTTCTGGGCATTTTAAGCCACAATGTTTGACTTGATGTTTCAACTGAGACTATCAGAAATCTGATAATTTAACTAGAAAACTGTAAACTTTAGTCACTTGTAAAACGCTCCTCGCCTTGCGTTGTATCGCTTTGTTCCTCAGCATCAAGGATCATGCAGCCTTGCAGGTAGATCGGGCTACATTCCTCCATTGTCATTCACTGTCCTTCCATTTCTGCCACCTGTCAAAAATCCCCCACAGACAGAAAGTCAATGTGTGGCTAAATAAAAGCAGACATCCTCATAGAGGCTGTGGGTGGTTTTAACCAGGTTTTCTCACGCGCTTGTTTCGCTGAAGCAAACAGCCACTTGTGACTGAGCATGAGGAAGAGAGTGGGAGAGATTGGGATGCATTTTGATGTTTTTCTCTGTGGTTTTTCTGTTGCTGCTGCAGGTGCTGAGCCCAACATACAAGCAGCGCAATGAGGACTTCAGGAAACTCTTCAAGCAGCTCCCTGACACAGAGAGGCTCATTGTGGGTGAGTGGACGCCCCACACACTGAGGCAATCTGAGGACTGCCAGGGTGCCCCCAGCCTGTTAGTAATTAAAACACGATTAATCAATGCATAGACACACATTGCATGTTCTAAAGCTTTCATTTGGCATGAATATACAGTGTCTTGCAAAGTATTCACACCTCTGAAACCTTTTCCACATCTTAAGTTATAACCATAAACTTGATACACTAATAGAAAATGATGCATTATTTAATTATGTAAGTTGTGCAGATGTTCAATGTTTTTATATTAAAAGAGTGATAATTTGGTCTGCATTTTACTCTTATTTTAGTACAAATATAGCTCTTCAGAGGTTAGTTGGAAAATACTGATGAAGAAATAACATCACAAAGAGCAAGAAACACTGCAGACAGGTCCGAGATAAAATTGTGGAGGTTTTAAATGAAAAGTTGAAAGCCGAAAAAGACATGAGCCTGAGGGGGAAGGTTCAACTTTCTGCAGAACAGTCCTCAAAGAACTGCAACAATGGGATGGTTGTTTGAAATGCCCCGTTGAACTTCACGCCTAAATCCAATTTAAAATCTGTGACATAACTAGAAAAAATAATTTTTAACAGAAGCCTTTCACCCATGCTGACGGATTTGGATATACGTGTTCAAAAAATAAGAATGGGCAAAAATATTCTGAGCGTGTCTTCAAAGTTTTACCTTATTAAACAAGGTGCAAACTGGTTAGCAAAGTGCAAAGCTGACTTATAAATAAGGTGCTAATTAAATTCTAATGATGAAATGGCCAAAACTTTATGGGTGGAGGATTTGCAAATGTCAGTGTGTGCACCCACAAAGCGGGCAAACCTGAAACTGGTTGCAGGCTCAGTTTTCACATCTTTATTTAGCACAGGGGGTCAAACTCTTGTAATTTTGGGCAGCATCAAGATCATGTATGTTCTCAAAAGGCCAGCTGTGCTATAATAGGTTGACAAAACTCATCAACAAACTGTTTAAAAATTTGCTAAACATCTGTCTCTGCATTCAACAAGAACTTCTTAAAATAGAATACAGATAAAAACAGTTTTGATTTGATTTATACATTTATATATGAGCACACAACTGTTGGCCCCTCAGAATCTAGGCCGGATTTGGCTCCCAGGTTTTTGAGGTTTATGGTAGCACATTTGAAAGCACATTTGAAAATCAGGACAATATTTTGGGTTAAACAGATGTTGATTGAGGAGATACATTTTTTTTCACTTTTATTATTATTTTTAAAGTAATCATTACCATTATTACCTCCAGCTGCATGTCTTAGGTCTTCATTTTTCTTTTATGGCAACAAACTGCCAGTAGAATACACAACGGGCTCATTTAAACAAGCGAAAAAAATGAAAAAAAAGTTTGAATGTCTGATCCTTTGCATACAAAATCTTTGTAGATCATCAGAAGACACCCACTTATTCCATTTTTTTCCTGCCCAAGCCACTTATTATTATTTTGTTTCTCTTTAGAACAGAGTCTCAGTCTCTAGATATGCAAAGGTGGTTGCTGACATACCCAAAAACCATGCATCTTTTCCATCGATTTTGTATTGTGTATTCTTTTGTTTCAGTTTATTACATCAAATCGATTTTTTTTTATGTCAAATCGAAATAAAACATTAAAGTTTGATATGACGTGAAAAAATATGAAAAGGCTTAAAGTGTATACCTAGATTTGCAAGCCACTGTTTATGCCTCTTAATGAACTTCAGTTGAGGCATTCCTTGCAGCACATAATGTTGCAAGAGTGCCTATTTTTCTGTTTAAAATAACATTTTAATCTGAGTTATGTTGAAGAGGAGATTACATTTAGCATAATGTCCTTCAAAAACCACAGCAGAAATACTGTAACAAGTCCAGTAGATGCAGTTCAGAACTATTACAACATGCTGTACTTTCATGAAATGTATCTTTAGGCCTTGGTCAGCCAGAAATGACTGTCTTTGTGTTTCCAACATGCAACATTGTGGTGAATGAATCATCATAGTCTTATTCTTCTCCTTTAAACTCTGATTAATGCAATTCATTCAAGTCTGAGTCTGTGCTAAGGGTCTTTGTTTTGTCTTCTGTTAGAGTTGTAATTTTATTCATGAGTTCCTGAAAGGAGACCACCAAGCTTCAACAATAAGTGATATAAAAATGAATAATAAAAATAAAATCAATAAAAACAACACCCATCAATTTTCATTAATGTGAACCCAAGTCTTAAAATCTTTAAGACTAAAAAGGCTTGTGTGATTTTCAAGGATTGAATTGATTTGGAAAAAAAGAGGAAAAGCTTGTATAGCTTTATTTATATTCATATTCCTAAAAAGTTTGCATTATTCTTTTGGGTTCATTAAATCTAAATTTGTCCAGAGTCTGAAACAAGCTGCAAAAGTTCATGAATAACTTACTTACTGAAAACTGTATTATTAACAAAATAGGAGCCAAGCTCAGTTCTGTTTTGTTCCATTATTGTTTAAACATTGTAGTCTGGAAAATATATAAAAAGGAAAATAAATATTAAAGGTAAACAGGCAAGTTTAAACCATTTAAATTAAAGTTATTGTTAATATTAATCTGATATAAGGCTATTGGGTCCCTGAGCTTAACCCCACACTGCTCCGCATATGGCAGCCCACTGCTCCCTGAGGGGGATGGGTTAAATGCAGAGAGTGAATTCTGTTGCGCTGTATTTATGAAAGTGTAATGACAATAAAACACTGAAAATCTAGACTCTTTTAATCAGCTTTAAGCCAGCGAAGATTCTCTGCAGCCCTTTTTATTTCTCTTTCTTCCTCATTTAGAGTTTTGAGAGTCAGTGTTATTCTGGGAACTTTGAAGGTGTTTCCATTTTAGAAAACTACCATGTTATCAAGCTGCAAAACGTTAGTAAATGAAAGAACTATCATCTGCAGGTTAAGAAGCCTTTTTGCTAAGTTTCCAGTCATAAAGTGATCGTCCCGTTTCTCTTTACGGTTTTCTTATAAGCGCCCTTTGATTTTCTTCAAAAATGAAAATACAAAATAAATTTTTGCACAATTTGACTCTATTTGGTTTCTAAATTAAACTGCCAAATCTGTACATAAAAGATCCCAATTTTTAGGATTAATAACAGCCAATATTAAAAATTTTGAAACAAGACAAGTCAAGGAGAAACAAATATTTTTTACATTCAAGCATAATGTTTTTAAACACTCATTTTCCTTCACTGTGGGACCTTTGCCTTGCAGACTACTCCTGTGCTCTTCAGCGGGACATCCTCCTCCAGGGACGGCTCTACCTCTCCGAGAACTGGATCTGTTTCTATAGCAACATCTTCCGCTGGGAAACTCTCGTATGGCCAATATCTGTTTATATGTCTTTATTGTTTATTCGCAGCATTATAACAGGAGGTGATGCGTGCAGATGTAAAATTTTTGCTTATGTGTTTAGCTGACAGTGCGGCTAAAGGACATCTCCTCGATGACGAAAGAGAAGACGGCTCGTCTGATTCCCAATGCAATCCAGGTCTGCACAGACAATGAGAAGGTGAGGATTGTTAGTTGTATCTGTAGAAACATTAGAGAGACACCAAACAGGCATTGGTAAATAAAGTCTATAATGATGGCATGCTCTTAACACTAATAGATAATAATTCCAGAGTAAATTAGCATAAATGATGATTAATAGATAGATTTTCTTCCTCACAGCACTTCTTTACCTCATTTGGAGCCAGAGACAGGACGTACATGATGATGTTCAGACTCTGGCAGAATGCCCTGCTTGAAAAGGTAAATGACTAAGATCAAAATCCTTTGATGCCCTTCATACAAAACCCGGTAAAGGAAAAAAACCTTTAAGGATCTTCAGCCATTTGCTTTGTTTTGTTTGTGCTTTTTGTTCTATTTGAAAATCACAAACATCAGCTTAAAAACACTACAGAAAACTAAAGACAGAGGGGGACTAGATTTACCTAACTTCCAATACTACTATTTAGCAAATAGATTACAATACATCTCTAAATGGATAAAACATAATCCCTTAGATGAGCCCTGGATAGACACAGAACAGGATATATGCAGTAATATAATAATCTCAGATTTGCCGTTTATTAGCTCTAAGATCAAACGGCACCCATGTTTCAAAAATATTAACATCAGCTCTTCCCTGACAGCATGGTGGGAATTTCTAAAAATAACGAACTCATCACTTATCCCGTGCAGTCGTACACCCATCTGGAATAACCCTGACATTCTACAAAACAATAATGTGATAAACTTTCCGTACTGGAAGAATAAAGGTATTACATATCTGGATCATTTGTTTGAAGGTACGGAGTTTATCACATTCGCTAGATTAAATTTGCAATATGGCATTAACAAAAATAAATTCTTAGAATATGAGCAAATCAAAGCTATAATTAGAAATAAATTTAAGCATATTGATGGAGGTTTAATAATTCCAACTAAAATATCAGAGTTTCTAGAGTTAACCCCCCCCAAACTACTGTCTAAGTTATACAGGACACTGACTAAACTGGATGATACAATATCTCTTCCTATTACTAAATGGGAGGAGGATTTATCAGTCAGCTTTGAACAAAACATCTGGGCTCAGATATGTCTAAGAACTTTTAACATGACCAGAAACCCCAATTTACAATTAATACAATACAAAATCCTCCACAGAGTGCACTATACAGGTCAAAGATTATTCAAGATGGGTTTTGCGCAATCTAACATCTGTCCACAGTGCACAGGCAATCGACTTGATAATTATTTTCACGCGCTATGGTTATGCACGCCGGTTCAGAGATTCTGGGTACAGGTATGTAAGGATCTATCACTGTGCCTGGGTTGTAAAATCCTAATTTCCCCTTCAGTTTGCTTGCTGGGTGACTTTGAGGGAAGCTCTATGGGAAAAAAATCGGTTTGCTTGGCATTCACTGCATTATGTATCGCAAAGAAAACTATCCTCATGAATTGGAAGAGTAAGGATAAACTCAACATCAATCAGTACAGAGATCTGTTGTTGGATCATATTAATCTTGAGACAGCATCTGCATCCCCATCAGACCGATCTCTCTGGGCTCCCTTGATCGGCTCCATCACTTAGTGTAGTGGGGGGCTATGGGGTGCGTCTTGTGGGGCGCGGGGGCTAGTTCGGGGGTCCTTGGGTCCTGGGGGCTCGGGGGGGTGCTCGGAGCGGGGTGCCTGGCGGGTCTGGCCCGGGGGACTGTTGCCCCCGTCGGGGCGGGGTCTGGGGCGCCGCGGGGGGGTCCTGCGGCGGCCGCGTGCGGTGCTCTTGGGGGGTTCCGTGGTGGCGGACGTGGGCTACTGGCCTGGTGGCTGTGCTGCTGCTGGGTGGGGCTGGGCGCCGGGCATCGGTTCTTTTGTGGTGCTGGCCGGGGTGCTTCTGCTCTGCGGGGCGTCGGGGCGTGCCTCGTCTTCCGGTGCCGGGTTTCGGTGGTTGGCCGTGGTGCTTGCCGTGGTTGCGTCGTCCGGGGGGGGCGTGGGTGGTCGCGCCTGTGGCCGGGGTTCGTGTGTGTCTGTTGTGGGCGGGTTGCGGGCGTCGGGGGTCCCTTTGGAGTGCCCCCGGGTCGGGGTGTGGCTTCGCTCTGTTGGGGCGGGTGCCGGTGACGCGTGGTGCGGTGCATCGTGCGCGGCTTGGGAGTGGAGGGTTGCTCGGTGTTTGGCGGCGGGGGGGGGACGGGCCGTGGCCGGCGTGGCCATCCTCCTCTCGGCGGCCTGTGGGCGGTGCGGGGCCGGAGCGGGGTGGGTCGTGCTGCTTTCGCGCCGGGCGCGGCGGGGGTGGTGGGGTCGCGTCTGCTGCTTTCTTTTTGCTGCTTGTGCCGGCTTCTGGCGGCTGGGGCGGCCTTGCTGCTCTGGCTCTCTGGCGTGCGCCGGGTGGGGCTGCTCTGTCCTTTGCTTTGCCTTGCGGCTGTGTTTGCTGTGGTCGGTGGGGGCGGGGTGGTTTCGTTGTGTTTTTGGGTGGGGGAGTCCGCCTGGGGGCTTGGTTGGTGCCGTCGGTTCGTCCTTGTCGGCCTTCCGGTGTTGTTTCTGTTGGGGCTGCTCGGGCCCCCGCATGCCGGCGGTGCGCTGCCGGGGGGATTCCTGTTCGGCGGGCTTGCCTGTCTCCTGGGAGGGCAGGCATGTTGACTTTTCTGGGGAGGAGCATCTGGGTGGAGGGGTCCTCGTGGTGTGGCGGTGGGTGTTGGGCACTGGCTTGTTTGCGGCCGTTCTTCTCCGGTGAGGGGGAGAATATTATAATTTTTTTGTTTTTGTTTTTGTTTGTTTTTTGTGTGGGAGGGGGTGTGTGGGCGGGGGGATCGGGGCTTGGAGTGGGGCTCGGGATTTGCGCTTAGCTGTGTTGTGTGGCTTTCTTCTTCTTCGGATTGGTGCTGTGGGACCGGTGTTGGGGGGAGTCGTTCGGGGGCCGGGGTCGGGGTGGGGGTGCTGGCGCCGGTGCCGGGGGTTTTTGGGCATTGCCCGGCCCTACTGCGGGGTGGGTCTGGGGTGGCTCCTTGGGCCTGGGATCCCTGGGGCGCATTGCCCTTGGGCGGGGTCCCCGGTGGGGGTTCGGGGGTTCGGGTTCTGTGGGGAGTGCTGCTTGGGTTCTGGGCCGGTGTACGCCTGGCTGTCTGTCCCTGCTGCCACGGCCTCTGGTGTGCCGGGGTGCCTCGGGGCCTGCTGGGCTGGGGGGGGGCATGGACATTAACACCTATGGCAAGTGCTTACCCCCTCACGGGTTTGCACTCTGTAAGTGGGGGAAGGGGAGGGAGGGGGAGTAGGTATGATCTCGGCCTGGATGTCTTCTGTCGCTTGTGTGGTGAGTAGCTTGATTGTTATTGTAGGGGAGGGATTACATCTCCGGAGGGGGGGTGGGGGGTGGTGATAGAGGGAAGAAGATCTTTGAAGGGCTTTGGGTCTGGCTCCCTGTCTTGGTCCTGGTCCGTGCTGCCCCCTGGTGGGGCTTCGTCCGGGGTGGGGGCTCTGCGTGTTGCGCGTTGGCTGGCCGGCTGGGATTGTCCCTTCCCTTATTCATTTATTTATTTATTATTATTATTTTTTTTCTTATCTTCCTTTTATATTTTTTTATTTATTTTTTTTTTTTTTTTTTTTTTTTTTATTATTATTTTTTTATTCAATTTATTTATTTATTTATTTATTATTATTATTTTTTATTTTTTTATTTTATTTATTTATCTACTTATTTATTTATTTTTTTTTTTTTTTATTATTTTTTTTTTGGATGGACAGGACGGGGGGGGGGTGGTGGAGTCGGCTCCGTGCCCGGCTGGCTGGTGGGTCCTGCTGCCGGTCCCGTGCCCCCGGGCTATGGTGGTGAAACTGGTGGGGCCCCCTTCTCTGGGGGGGCTCTCGGGGAACGGGGGTGCCTATTGGAGTCAGCGGGGGAGCTGGCTCCCTGGGAGTGCAGCAGGCACCCCAGTCCTTTGCTCCCCATCCCCGAAATCCTCCCTCTGCCTGCTCCATCACTCGGCCACACATGTAGGTTTTTGGGGAGGGGGTCGTTACTGGAGGGCCACACCTTCTGATGACGTCCCCCACCCCAATTTTATTTTGCATTTTAGACACTTCCATCTACATCATTTTCACAACACACATCTATGTAGGGCATTTTCGGGGGGTGGGGGTCAGGGCCACCGGGGGGGGGCTTATTTTATGGGCCTCACCACGGTCGGCCTCCTCCATCCCCTCTCGCATCTAGACATTGAGGGTTGAGGGTTGTCGAAGGGGGAGGGTGTGCTGGCACCGTCTATCTCCTGGAGGGGGGGTGGAGTGTGCCGGACACCCCCTCTTGGTACTCCCAGTTTTAATTGCATCTGAGAGCAACACGCAACAACACCACATTCGAGCGGGCGCAGTGAGGATCGGGGTCTTCTCACACCCCTGTTCTCCGGCTGCCGCCTGGAGTCTGGGGCCTGGAGGAAGAGCGGGCCACCTGGTCCGTGGTTTTGGCTGGGGCTGGCTGCGGGGCCTAGGTGGCCTGCTGGTGGCGGGGCTGTCACCTCTGCTCTCCCCAAAGAAGGTTGGATGGAGGGGCATGAAGTGCCTGGTTGAAGGTTTTTTTTTTTTTTTTTTTTTTTTTTTTTTGTTCTTTTCGGGGGGGGGGGCGGTTCTGGTTGGGTGGCCGGCGCGGGATGGGTGGGCCCCGGTCCCGGGGGGGGCTCTTGCGGGGGGTGGTCCGGTCCGTGTGCGGGGTGGGGGGCCGGGCTTGAAGCAGGAAAGAGATGGGTTGGTGTGGCGGTGTCGCCGCTCCCCTCCCCTCACATCCGGATTTTAGGTTCACTTATGGGGTCATCCGATAGTCCCGGGACCGACCACCGGTGTCACCGGGTTTTTGGTCCTGGTATTATTGGATGTGAGTGTTATGTGTGAATGTGTGTCTGCGTTGTTATTTTCTTTATTTATTATTATTATTATTTTATTCAATTTTTTTTTTTTTTTTTTTTTTTTTTTTTTTTTCCTGTGGTACGAGTGGGGGCACTAGGGAGGGAAGGCATGATTGAGATGGTGTGTTTTTTTTTTTTTTTTTTTTTTTTTTTTTTCCCAGGTTGGGGTCTCAACCGCACCCTCTCCCAAATACATCTCAAGTCTCCGCTAAGTGCGGAGCCCATTCCCCCCGTCCTGCTCTCCCTCCGCTGGCTGGCGTCGGGGCTCACCGGTGCACTGGTGGAGCTGGGGGTGGATGCCCGGGGGACTGCTGGCTCATTCCTGGCTGCCTCTCCGCTGGCCCCGGCCGGCCGGGGCTTTGCTGGGGCTCCTGTCTGGGGATGGGGTGCCCTTGGGGCCTCGGATCCCTGGGGCCTGGGACTGGATCCGCTTCGGGGTGGGGCTGGGTGTTGTTCGGGGATTTTCGGGGTCGGTGCCGGTGCCTTCGCTACGATGCCGGTTCCTGGGCGGTGTTTCTTTCCTATGCCGGTTCTGTGGTATCGGTTCGGGGGGGGGGGGAGCTGCGCGGCATGGTGGGGTGCGGGTCTTGGGTCCTGTTTTGGGCTCCGGTTTTTCCGCTCGCACTTCTCCTCTTGCCTATTTATTTTAATTGTAATTATTAATTAATTTATTTATTTACGTTATTTATTTGTTTTTTTTTTTTTTTTTTTTTTTTTCTCTTCCTCGGTGGGGGGGAGCGGTTGCGGGCGGGTCGGTGTCTGGTGTCCGCTGTCGCATTGTGGGGGCCCCTTTTTTTTTTTTTTTTTTTTTTTTTTTTTTTTTTTTTCTTTGGGGGGTTTGGCATGTCTGTTTTCTCGGGGGGCAGGCGGGCCTGCTGGGTGGGGGTCCTGCTGGCGGCGCGCCGCTGGTGTGTGGGGGTCCGGGCGGCTCCGGCGGGGGTAGTGTTGGGGGGCCGGTCTGGGCGGGCTGGCTGCGCTGGCTGGGTATTCGGGTGGGTTTTCCCTCCTGGAGGCATGGCGGGGCTGCTCTGTTCCCGCTGATCGCGGCGGGTGGGGCTGCGGGGCGGGTGGGGGCCTGGGGTGGCTATGACCGGCGCGTGGTGGGGGGCCGGGGCGGCGGAGCTGCTCTGGCCGCGTGTCGGGGCCTGGTGCGGGCTGCGGGGGGGGTGGCGGACGTGGCTGGGCTGCTTTGGCATCGTCCGGTGGGGGGGCGGCGCGGTTCGCTCCGCTCTGGCTTTGTGCTGCCCCTCGGGCTGCTGGGGGGGGTGGTTGCGCCGGCTGCGGTCTGCTCCTCTTGCGGTTTTGCGCCGGGCGGCTTTTCTGCTCTCGGGCTGATTCTGTGCGCGGTGTGTTTCGTTGCGCGCTGTTGGCATCGGTCTTGGTGGGGTGGGGCTGCGCTTTTGGCCGGGGGGGCGTTTTGGGGGGGGTCCCGCGGCGCTCGTGGCCGGTTCGCGGCGGATGCGCATGGGCCCCGGCCGGGGGCGGGGCCGTCTTAGTGTTTTCCTGGGTGGTGCGGTCGCGGTGGGTGTTGCGGCCGGACGCCGGGGCTTGGTGCGGGGGGGCGGGGCGTGTTTCGGTGCTCTGTGGGGCTGGGGCGTTTCGGTCGGCGCCGTGGGGGGGCTGGTGTTCGGCGCCCGGCCCACGGACTCATCCCCGCGGCTCCCCGGGGCGCCGGCATGGCGGTGGCTGGGGGGCTTCCTCGTGGCTGTCTCTCCTCCTGCCTTGGTGGGGTCTGATTTCCGGGGCTGGCCCCGCCTTGGTGCCTTCGCTTCTGGGGTCCCCTTGGGCGCCTGGGGCTTTGGGTCTCCCGGCGCTGGACTCAGTGCTCTGGGGGGTGTGCCTCTCCGGCTCTCCACAACCACTATTGAGCATTTTTTTCTATGGTTAAAACTTTACATGCACAAGTTCACCCTCACAAACAACTACAGGTGCTAGGCTTCAGGTACTTAGAGATTCACTTCCAAACAGAAACCCCACATTCATATCTTCAGGTAACACAGAGTACATGTCAGACTTAATAATATTACTTTAGTGATAGTTTCAAGGTGTTTGCTTTATTGTATATCTCGTACCATGTTTTTTGGTTGTGCTGTTCTTTTTTCTTTTTTTTTTTTTTTTTTTTTTTTTTCTCTCCATCTCATTACAGGTGTTGAAGCAGACTGAAAATGTTTTGTCATTGTCTCCTTCCTATCTCCTCTTTCTTTCATCTTTTGTCCTGTTTTTTTCTTTTTCTTTTTCCTTCTTCTTCTTCTGTTTTTCTGCTCTACTTACATTGCAGTGTCCATATGAACTGTAAAACTCCCTGCATAATTATAATAAAGCAATTTATATACATGAAACAAGTGGAGCGGTATGGCAATTGCGATACCGCTACACTTGTGAAAGTAAAATCTGTTGGGCTCCTTTTGGCATCAAGACAATTATTCTTATTGCCACCTTGCCAGACAGGACACTGTAAAAAAAAAAGAAAAAAAAAAAAAAAAAAAAGAAAATCACAAACACGATAAGAAAAAAACTGAACACAGTGGGTTTGTAAGACATACCTTTGAAAATAAATAATTGTCAAGTGTCCTCTCCCATCAACAAGATGAAAACATGCAATTAGGAATTTTAATAACATTTTCCAATAACCTAAATTATTTAACTCTTGGGATTTACTTAGAGAAAATGATAAACTTTGTTAATCACTTTCTATTAGTCTCAAAAGCAGATAACAAGTTAGGTTTGCAGGATGCACTTTTTTATTGTAACCCTTAATGTTTTCATCAATTTTAAACTGTTTGCTGGCGTGACATCGAACCCGATTTATGTTATTAGCTTATTGGAAGCTGTGTTATTCTGAAAAAAACAGATGTGCATTTCCTCTAGAGGGCATGCACACCTTTATCATCATAGACTTTTGAAGTTAGTTTATCTTGAGTTATCTAAACCCGTTTATTTGAGATGAAACCAGATCTCCTCCCATCATCATCTCACTGCTCAGAGCAGATAAATGATTCTTTATAAATTTTACTCTCACCATGTCATCCTGTCAATGATTGTCATGATTTTTTCCCTGTTTGAATATTTATTGCTGCTCTGGTTTGGATTTTTATAAATAACATTTTTGTTGATAACTTCTTACACCTCAGTCTCAAACATTGGTAGCCTATTTGTGGATTTTTTTTTTTCATGAATTTTCAGTTATTTGCTAGTGGTAGGGTGCAATTTAAATTTTATATTGAGTTAATTGCGGGGTCTGTAATTATTTAATTGCATTTTAATAAAAAAACATCTATCAACAAATTAAAGCACCTTTTCAATTCAAAAATGTTTTTCTTCTCAATTATTGAATAAAAAAAACTATATGAGTACAGTACCACAAAACGTATATTGATTGACTATGCCAAGGAGGTTATGATTTCAGGAGAATTTCTGTTTCAGCCTGTCTGCTTACAGGATAACTTGAAAAGTTATGGACAGATTTTAATTAAACTTTTATCAGATGTGTCCCTTATGCCAAGGAGCAATCCATAAAATTTTGGCGATCATCCAGATAATAGTCTTGATACAGGAGTTTTTTTTAAAGTTCTCTAACATCGTGGGAGATATTTAGTGGAACAAGCAGTTCCCCACTAAACCAGAGGGTGGCAGCAGTGACTATTGACAACTTCAGCATCAAACTCAAAACGCCCGGAGATATTTTATTGAAGACAAAACTCAAGAAAAGGAAGCATTCTTGGTTTATTACAAGGATCAATTAAAACGTATGATTGTATGGATTTTGTTTACCAGAGGTGTGCCTAATGCCAAGGAACAATTATTTAAATTTGGTAATGATCCATATCATGTGCGAGTTTTAGCGAGTTTAAGTCACAGTTTGAGGCGTCATTTGCTGCTTGGTGGAGGTCTGTGCTCTCAGAGTGCTTTCTTATTGATTTAATCCAACTATTTAGATTATTCACAGCACTGGGTATTTCTATATGCCTAAGTTATTGTGTGTACTTTAACAAATTAAGATTCCACAATTGCATGGAATCTTATATGTTTATCTGCCTGATTATTATATTTTCCATATCATTTTATTTTTATTGTCACTTTATGTTAATTTTTAGCTATTGTAATCCTCCGACCTACCTGAGTAAAGTATCTCTATATATGACATTACGCTTGACACATCTTCTCATAGCCTTATAAAAAAACCTTTTACAGAAATATATTCTCTACTATGCAAGTTCTTAATTCTTGTCCCTTTCCAATGCTGCTCTATTATTGAAAATTTTCCTTGCCAGCAAAACAAAAAAATCTTTTTTCCTAATTCAGTCTGCTAATATCTTTAATTCAAGCTTGGGGTTTTTCTACTTTGATGTTTTTGTCTAAACATATTTTTATATACAGCATTTTCATTTTGTATGTTCTTGCGCTGGATTATAGACCAAACTGTTTTCCCCCAGTTTGTGTCAATTTAGCCTTTTAAAGGATTTTTGTCATGCTTTCCATTGTTTCATCTGACAGTTTTCTTGTTGGGCCATGCTTCCTGTCATTCAATCTCATGCAGGTATTTGTTTTAGACTTGCAAATCATTCGGTGGTTACATACATTTCTCATCGACTGGATCTGAAAGAAAAAACTGCTCATTTGGGATGTTTTACAAAGCCACTGTGTTTTGTAATGAAATAACATACTTTACATTTTGCTCCTATTTTGCTTTTTGTTTAACTTTGATGTGAGAAAAATGGCTGAACATCCTCTAAAGGTAGTTGCTCACCGTCTTTGTCAGAGGTTCCAATATTTCAGTAAGGCATTAGATAATTTACATCATTTATGCTTAACATACCTGCCAGATGTTGCTTACATTGCTGTTTCTCCATTGTGTTTCTATGGAATTAAAACCACCACATCTATTTTTTGACTGTGTTTGCATACTTTGCAGCCCCTGTGCCCCAAAGAACTTTGGCACTTTGTCCATCAATGCTACGGCAACGAGCTGGGCCTAACAAGTGATGATGAGGACTATGTCCCTCCTGATGACGACTTCAACACCATGGGGTAAGTTTACATTGCACGGATTCTACATATTTAACAGAAAAAATATATAAAGCTTGCTGGAAGTGATAACAGCCAGTGAGGGGAGTGACATAAAGCCCTTATTTCTCCTGAAAGTGAAGTCTGAACCTCATAGTTTCATAAAGCTTTGGCATCACCTCATCTGGGGGAATTATTAGCAGTCTGTAAATGAAAAAGATTGCTTTAAAGGGACAGTGTGTAACATTTACCTCCATCTAGTGGTACACTAAATGAATTACAGACAACAGGCTGGTGCCTCTTATATGAGAGACCTACTACGGAAGCCGAGGAGTGACATTCTACCATTTTTGAGCTGAGGGGACACAATAACCTCCCTCAGAATTATAAAATATGTTAAAATACACAATAAAAAACTGAATATTTATTTAAAATCAGGATTGAAAGAAGCCTATGGTCGTTATCTGGTCTGACCCATTTGATCGGCGCTCATCCAGTGTAGGATAACAAACGGCTGAACTACACTGCCCTGCTTCTACCATAACATCTAATTAAACTTCACTGTTATATTGAATTACTTTACCTGTACAGCAGAAAGCCTGAAACCTCCTTGTCAGTTTTAAAGCCCTGCTCCATTATAAAGTGTCTCCACGTGTTAAAGATTGCCCGGTTATCACTTCTGTCTCTGTTTTTGACGGATACCGACAACATGTTTTCAGATATGGGTTAAAACATTTAAGGCTGTCAAGTTTGTCCCCTTTGTGCTACTCTGATCAAAAATGGCGACACAACATGGCGTCTCCCATTAAATGCACTGCCACCCATGTATTTATAAATTACTAATTCAAAGCTATAATAATGCTTTCATTTTTGATGTAAAGAAATACTTAACTTTTACCCCAAAAAAAAATGTCACACACTGTCCCTTTAAGCATGATTTTATTTATATGACTCTTATTTTGAACTAGAAAAGAAAGTAGTAGTAGCTTACTACTTTTAGCTAACGACATGAAAATAAAAAAATACTTTCATTTTTTTTTTTTTTATGTGGCTTCATTTTGAGCTCATAGTTGAAAGAAGGGAGAACAATGTGAGAGACTAGCCATGAACAAAATGTTAGTGCTGTGAGAATCAGTGACTGGGTAACCATCAGTTACTAACAACACGAAAGTTGGCATCTTGGTCAAACCTTTTTTTCAGCTTCACGGTTTTTACTGTTTCTTAACGACCTGCATTTGATTACGCGTCTGAAACTACTGAAACACTGAGATCAAACAAACTCTAACAGGATGATTGAAAACTCAACACTAGCTTGTTAGAACCCTGATGGAGATCTGTAAAAATAAAAAATATAATTTTAGTATTTAAATCACTTTGAAATTAAACAAACATAAATTTTACCTTGAACTAGCTTAACCTGTACTTAAACCTTAAGAGAGACATTAAAAACGGGTCTTTTTTCAAATCAAAACCGCCCCAAGTGAAACCAAAAATAATTCGATAATCATAGTTCATCCAAGAATACAGTTTCGTTTTGATGTTTCTTAAACACCTCAGGACCTTTCTTAGGAATCTTAACCAGAAGGAAGAACTAAAGTTTTACACAAGAGAGTAAAATACCAGATAAAACAAGATCCATGCAACAACTCTGGTGTGCAGCTAGACAAAATTTTTGTCACCCTTAAACCTTCTTTGGCATGAAAGGTTCACTTTAGGCAAATAGACGTGAAGTTTTCTAGAAGACATTTTGCCTCTAATCCAAGAGGCTTCTTCAGTTCTAACTAGTGGGAGAACTCCTACTCCTACTAAGAAGGAGGGATCAGAGCCAGCTTTTGTTTTTTCTCCTAATTCTTTTTTAGACCTACAATATGTATATATCAGTGCTCCCCAACAATAGTTAGAACTGAAGAAGCCTCTTGGATGAGAGGTAAAATGTCTTCAAAAAATAAAAACACATGCAGTTGCCTAAACTGAACTTTTCAAGCTTGACCATGACTTGAATCTTCACAAATATCTTCTCATTTCAGAGATTTTAAACAATAGAAAAAGTTTAACAGTAACTTTTTGGTTTAACTTCATAACTCTATTTAGCTCATTCCTAAAACAACTGTAAGAATTCACTCCAGCTGATTATTTTCTTTGGCTCACATATTTAGGAAAACCAAAACCAAAGAGTCTCTTATTGTAACGCTGGTTTATTCCATACTTCTGATTCTGTAAAACAACGTTGATCAGTTCTCCCTGTCTGCTGGCCGTTCCCTATAAGATCTCCGAAGCATGTGGCCTGGTGCAGATCCCCATGCTTTATTTCTACTCCTCTGCACAGTCTTATCATATCAAACCCAACCCATTTAAAACAAACAGTCGTGAATATTTTGGCACCAACACAGCTGAGTGGGCGACAAGAGGAGAGTAAGATACTTTTCAGCTGGAGAAAATGAATCATGAGCTCAGGGACACTTCTCATGTCTGGGTTGAAACCGAGTTGTTTGGAATTGCTAATAGGCTCTATTAAAAAAAAAAAAAAAAAAAAACGCTTTTAGAGCTGCCCCTAAGTTGGTTCAGACTTATTGATAAGATCTTGTAGGAGAAGATATCCGTGGACAGCTTTGGACATGCTGAGGATTTTAAAAGAAGCTGATTATTAGAAGATAAGGAAGTGAGTGGGGTTAATTATCGCTTGCTGGTGCCCTCAGGTTCAGCGAGGAGATTCCCAATGAAGAGAACGAGATAAACAATGACAACTTGACAAAGAACAGCACAGACGCCAAGCCTGAGGGGAGTCCTCCTTTACTGCACAAGAAAGTTATCCCAAATAACTCCCTTCCAAGCCCAGGAAACCATGAAACAACCATTACTGTAAGTCACTGAATGGATTTTTAACCCAGCACATATATTATTTCACCTCTGGCAGGAAAATTTTAGATGAGGTCAAGCAAAATTTTCATTTGCATTTTCCTTTTTTTCTCTAGTTTGAACTCCCTGCTGAGGAATTTGCAGACTGTCTACCGGATGGTGAGCTGCTCACAGTGCCCCTAGTGGTAGAGGATAAGAACGACACCAGCGGGCCTGGTGGTCCTGTTCCCTCACCTTCGCTGGACTTTAATGATAACGAAGACATCCCCACTGAGCTCAGCGACTCTTCAGAGACCCATGACGAGGGTGGGTACTTTACTGAACCTGTCTTTTCCTTCAGAAATGAGAAGATGACCAAGACATATGTAAGCTGTGTGTTTTCCTGTTGATTTATTATACAGGTGAGGTGCAGGCCTTCCATGAAGACCTAAATGGCAGACAACATATCAACGAAGTGTACAAGTTCAGTGTGGACAAGCTCTATGACATCCTCTTCACAGAGTCTCAGTTTATGAGTGACTTCATGGAACAGAGGCGTTTCTCAGGTCCGAAACCCCAAGCTTTACTTCTTCTGATACACTAGCTATGGATAATAAAACCAGTTCAATTCAATGCAATTTAGTTTATTTATATAGCGCCAATTCACAACACATGTCATCTCAAGACACTTTACAGAGACAATTCAACCAAATTCAAAATTTATTCAAAGCTTTCTAAAGAAAACAATTTTATTGCTTCGACTCATTGACTCCAAGGCAGTCCCTCACATCAGGCATGCTCATAGTAACAGTGGAGAGGAAAACTCTGTTTTAACAGGAAGAAACCTCCAGCAGAACCAAGTAGAAAACAAGTAGACCTAAGCAGAGATAGAAAAGGAAGCAGAAATACAAAAGGCATCTGCCAACCAGCTCCACAGCCAGCCCCATCCAGGACACACACAGCCAGGCAGACAAGCTCTGAGCCAGCTCCCATGTCAGAGGATAAAAGAGAACACATACAGTTAGTAACAGTCAGAGAATCAGGTGTAAACTGAAAAACAGATCAAGCTCCAACATCTATAAAGAATGATGTTGATGGCAGCAGCACGGCTGATAGTCCCAGCCGAACAGGAAAAAAACAGATGAAACTACTATGAAAAAAAGCAGAGAGAACATGTTAGAGATTAAACTAACAAATTCTGCAGAGTGGAAGAATAGAGATAGAAGAGAGCAGAATGATTAAAAAGGGGTTCCTATGTCCTCCAGCAGTCTAAGCTTATAGCAGCATATCTCTAGATGTAGCTCAGGAAAACCAGCCTGGACAGTTAGAGCCACTCTGACTATAAGCTTTGTAACAAAGGAAAGGAAACCAAAATTACAGTTTTCATTTTTGCATCCAGATATCGTGTACCACCCATGGAAGAAGGAGGATGCAGGAAACCAGTCAAGGGTTATCATGTACACCATCTCTCTGTCTAACCCTTTGGCACCAAAAACAGCCACAGTCACAGAGACGCAGGTGAAATGAGCATCGCTGCTGTTTTATCCGAATATTCTCATTTTTTCCACAGGAAGCACATTTATCCCACATATTTCTGATATTTTTTTAGACTCTGTACAAAGCCAGTCAGGAGAGTGAGTGCTACATCATCGACGCCGAGGTGATCACGCATAACGTGCCCTACCATGATTACTTCTACACGCTGAACCGCTACATGCTCACACGGGTGGCTAAGAATAAATGCCGGTTACGGTGAGTACTTGCTGGTTTATGGTTTGCCATTTTAGTCCTTTTTGTGATCTAACATATGCATTTTTGTCCCTCAGGGTTTCAACAGAGCTGCGGTACAGGAAGCAGCCATGGGGGCTGGTCAAAGGTTTCATTGAGAAAAACTTCTGGAGTGGACTTGAAGAGAACTTCCGCCAACTGGGTAAAGCTTGGTTATTTCAGTTTTGATTTTGCATCAGTCATACAATTTAAATGTAATGTAAAACCCTTAATATTTCATAGCATAATTGAATCTCACTGTCCGAAATAAACTAGAAACCTGACCACCCCATAACTTTGTTCTTCCTAAAATCCATGATTAGCAAAACAGGATCAAAAATTGGTTTTGACATCTGGATCATGAGCAGGTTCCTTAAGTAAAGGTTAAATTACAGCAGTCTTGAAATCTTTTAGTAATTATATGTTCACAAGGCATAAATTGATCAAATCTAAAACAGGGATAGTAGAGAAAAGATAAGCCTGCTGTAAGCAGTTATGTTGCATAATGGTCAAGTTAACAAATCCAAGGTTCATATGAAGCAATTATCTTGATTAACAATAAATCAACTAGAATAAAACAGTCTGAACACAGATCAGGTCCAGAAGATTAAAATAGTTGAAGCTCAGTTTGGTTTAGGTACGAACTTTGACTGGGTGATTTCAACTCATATAAATGCTTCCATAAACCACTGTAGGTGTACATAAATGTTTACATAATTTTTCTGCTAAAAGGCTAACAACTCAACTTCTGGTCTTTTCCAGTCAGATCTTTTTTCCAATATATAGTTTTTTCAGTAGGCCTGAAAATTCAACTTAAATTTCATGAGACAAAAGCCTATTTTTTCCACACATTTGTTGTGAACTCAAACCACTGCTTAGTATGCATCTAAAGGGAGTCGGTGCCACTAAATTTGGGGGGAATCATTTTACAGTAAATAACCTAAATACAAATTGTCACCATACTCACACGCACATTTCTTTGAATAGATAATTAAAAGTGCTATACATGAGAAAAAAAATTAGAGTTCATTGCAATGGCAAAGAGGCAACACAAATAGTAAAAGAGAATAAACGTGACACCTTAAAATATAAGCTTTTATTTAAAAAATAATGATTTTTCTGAAATATATATATATATTTTTTTAATAAAATAAGTAGGAAAATGGAGCAAACATTAAACCAGCAACTAATAATATTTAGACAGCACAGTAAAAGGCCTATCCAAATACGTTTTTAATCTCAATTCAAGCAACTGAGGGTTATAAGCCGGGGAGTTAATTCTAGATTTGTGGATTAATGGAACTAAATGCTCCTTTTAGGAGAAAATGTATTAGTTTACTTACAATTAATACTCATGCACTACTTTTTCACAGGGTTTCAATTCATTCAATACAAGGAAAGCCTTCTAAAACCTAAAAAAGAGCATCAGTAGACAGTAGGAATAAGACAACTAAGAGGAAAATCGAACCTGCATGAAGTGTCCCAACTTCATGTCCATGTAACTAAAATACCGTACCTCAGCTTTATTTATTGTGGGGAAAAAACAACCTTGTTTAATGTGGTGATAATGACAAGCCCCTCTCTACATATAAACCCATAAGGCTAAAAAAATCCAGTTTTGATCTGGAATTTGATAAACATTTACAAGTGTTTATGCAAAGCAGATAAGCCTGAGTACATGATTACAGAGAAGCAGCAAGACAAATATCTGCCAGTGCTGATGACAGAGGCACAAGCTGAGAACATTAAATCACTGCAGACAAATTAGTCGTGTGTTAAGCCTCCACGCGCAGCTAATTGCTGGTTTGCCTGATTGAAGCACCAGGCTGCTCACTGAAGTCAGGCACCGATCCTGAATCCTCCCATGGAGTTCTTCACTACATAGGTGCAGATGCTTTTATTTTGCTGCTAAACTTCCTCCCATCTTGACATAACAGAAATGTCCTTTCTCCTGTTTAGAGGTGGAGCTGTCCAAGCTGGAGGAGCTGATGGAGACCCACCAGCTGTCTCCGAAGGCAAAGGTGGTGAAGAATGCTACGGTGAGGCGGAAGAAGAGGCCCCTTCCCCACATGCGCAGCCAACACCTGGATGAGGCCCTCAGCCCTGTTACCACGCCGACAGACGAGGAAGTGATTCAGAGAATCAAACATGTGGTGGGCTCCACGCAGACCAGGCACCAAAGTCCAGAACACCATCACCTGCCAGGAGGCCTCGCTCTGTACAGTGTCTCCAAACTGCTGCTTATCATCAGCTTTGTGTATGCCACACACACACACACATAAATCCAAACAAAGGTCATTCATGTAGAGGCACCGTGCACACTCTGTCTGTTATTATCATGTCCCTAAGTGTAACTTTTCTCTCCTCTTCCTTCTACTGCAATCTGAAGGATCTGTCTCAGGTATATGTTTTGTTGTTATCCAGGGCCTCACGAAGTAAAAAAACTGAATCCACCTTTGGCTTCTTTATACTTAAACTTTCTACTATAATGACCACAGACACCCAGATCAGGCTTTTCTCACACAGTTTTATTTGAAACGCCATTGATGGACTTTTTAGATGAATGTTAATTAACTCAGAATATTTGCAAAGACATTTTTCTATTAATTAACTGATAACGATCCTAAATATCTGATCAACTTTAATTAGGGGATTCAGCCTTTAAACCTGTTGTTTTATTCCTTTGAATTAGTACGTTTTGAGCCATAAATAGGAAACCGGTTTAATTCAGAAGTGTTTTATCTACCAATAAACTTCTTCTAAATTACGGTACTAAAATATGTCTAGATCATAAATTTTAAGATCAGCAGATTTTAATATTATAGTTATGCAATTAAAATTCAACCACAAACCCCTCATTATGACTCATTTGTCCTTCCACCGCGCATCACTCATTTCAATCCATGAAGATTATGACCCCTGTGTCCTGATGGAGCATTCCCTTAGATTAGGGTAACCAATGGGGATTGTTACCAACTAAACCTTGCTCAAACTACTGGTTTGACCTTTTTCTGAGTTGGTTTGGAACATTTTACTGGTGGAGTAACTTCCAAGCCCCATTCCTTGTTTGAACCCTACAGATGATCATGAGGTCTTGTGCAAAGAGCTGCGCAGATGAGCGCTGACTCTCAAACAAAAACACGGACAGCCGGAAGTTATGCCCAGTAAGAACCAATACTCCTAATCTTGCCCTATTCATTGTGCATTATGGGCTTGTTTTCCTTTAAATCCTGGGTTAAATCATTGAAAGTTTTGTCAAATTTACATATAAATCTTTAATGCATTCAATATTATTTAAATAATTTCTTCCAGTATATAGGTTTGTTTGTAATTTAACATAAAGGAGCCATTAGTCATCTAAAAAAGCCAAGAGCAGCAGAACTCATCTGCGCAGGCAGAACTAGAATAATCAGAGAAAAGCCTGGTCTGGCCCAAAATAGAAACCATCTTCTGTGGTGCTAACCCTGAGGTTCTGGCTCAGGTCGTGGATCACCAGGGGATTCAGAAGCTTTGAGTTACTTCATATGACTTTCCTGTTCTGAACTTTTTCCCCTTTAATTAATCTCAGGTTATACAACTAAACATTTTGGCAACAAGCTCTCTCTGTAACCTCCAGTGAGAGACCAAGGAAGCTTTTTAATAAATCCATAAGTTTATTCAACTTTTTTTACAATTGATTTCTTAGTCACAAAATATCACCTTTTGATAACAGAGATGGTCTGCAAAATCATTGATTACGTTGATTTGTTCTTTTCGTCTAAATTAAGCAAATACTAGAGGGAAATTTGTAATCATTTTGTAATTATTTAAAAGTAACAAAGTAAATAAATTTAAGAAACAACTTTGTATGAATAATAAAATGAATCCTGCATGACATACAGAGAGCCAGATCTATTGATTTCAATCTGTGGCTGCTTAGCCTCAAGTTTCTTTTTGGAAAGAAGATACTAAGAAAGAAAAAATGATTTTCGGACATATCTATAAATTCCTACTTCTTCACATGGCTTTAATCAGTGGTGCAGCTCGGCTGTGATACTCTTAAATTGAACACAGAGACCTCAGTGTTTAAACTGTTTTCTCCCTCCTGTTCCTGACCTTATCCAGCTTGGTCCTCCTGGTGTTCCTCAACATGATGCTCTTCTACAAGCTTTGGATGCTCGAGTACTCTGCACAGTCCTTAACAACATGGCAAAGTCTGCGGCTTCAGGAGAGGTACATAGGGATAGATTCATCATCAGCACATGCTTGTTATCAATACAGAAGTCTTTTGTGAAAGCAGTTAGAAATGATTAATGGACTTTCATGAGGAGACAGAAAACCCAATCAGCGGAGAGCCTGAACAGAGTTCTGCTGTTGTTATTTGCACCGGCGGCTGCCGCAAATTCAATCTCAAACACACACACACCCACTCAGACATACAGACTAAACTATATCCATATGGTTGTTCATGTGACAGGAAAACACTGTGTCTAAAATTACCCCTGAATAGCTTTGGGCTTACTGAAACAATTTACCGAACTGTTTATTGGCAGTCGCTCCAAATGGAAATCATGCTTCAGCAGCTTCACCCTCATGTTGCCTGTGTGTGTGTGGGTGTTTCTCAGTAAGCTGCCTCAGACCCAAATGGAGTGGGCTCAGCTCCTGGAGGCGCAGCAGCGTTACCACGACGCCGAACTGCAGAAGTGGAGAGACATCATAAAGTCGTCAGTAGTGCTGCTGGACCAGGTACTGCAAGAGGGGGTTTCACTGGCTTCTAATCGTGAGAAATGTCCGAAGATTGGCCCTGCTGTAATTTGACACAACTGAAGCTGAAGGGTTAAACGGCCCCTTCACCAAACATCACGTCTCTATGGACCTGTGTTTGGTGAAGGAATATGAGACAGGAGGCCTGTTATTACTTCTCCACCCCTTCCTGCAAAGATCCTGCAGCTCAGAATATGCAGAACATGGAGCTTATTAGAAGTCTACTCTGTTGTAACAAATTAGCCATGCATTAAACAAAATAACAATACATAGAAAAGGAAGAGCAGTTCTGAATCCTTATACCTTGTGTAAAATTAACAAAGCTGATTGAAATAATGCTACGTTCATTCAACATTGCATTAACCTCAAAAAATGTATCTACACCAATGTAATATTTGCTATTTCACATTAACAAGGGATATAAAAAGTCACTATATTTCTCACATCTCATTCTTTTTTTCAATATAACGGAGCAAAGAGGCACGGCAACAATTAGTAAAGTACTCCACTACCCTGACCTCAAGGGAACAAAGAAGTGAGTCGTTTATTGGCTAAGGAAAATTGAATTTTGAAGACACATCTGATTCCCTATTACATGGACAGGGGAGAAGTAAACACTGGAAGTCAGGAATTTTATGAAAATCCACTGTTCTTAGGTTCAGGTTTTTCATCCACCAATGTTATGGTTACATTTATCTCTCAGAGACGGGGGTTAAACCCATGGCATTATTTTAGGTTTAGGTTTTCTTACCTTTTTTCCACAACTTCTGGTGTTAACCTTTTTTGTGCGTCTGTTTCAGATCTTTACAGGCAAAAAAAAAAGTAAAGCAAACAAAGAACAGTATAAAGATCATGCCTGCAAGATGTCATTTATATTTTTAAAAAAAAGGTTGAAATTTGAGGATGAATAAAAACATTGAATTGCCTTAAAGTTTAAATAAAACAATTAGACACAAAGTAATTCAATAATTTGTCCAAATCAGCTAATTTCAGTGTGGGCTTCCAACCTTAATTGTAAAAATAACATAGAAATCCGAAATCCACTTAAAGGGCACGGACAGAAATTAAAAATATTCATGGAAAAATAAAAATAGTTATCCTTTAAAGACAACAAATTCAGGAGCACAAAAATATTAAACACCCTTAAATATCACTGAACAATATCTTTAATTTTCAGCTGTGTTCAGATGCTGGAGGCTTGTGGGACTTTCTTGTATGATAGAGGTTTGTAGTTCATAATATTGTTCCTGTTTTTAATGCTTTGGTGTTTTGTTTTTCTTTCCTTGTGTTTTCGTCTTCAGATGAAAGACTCTTTATTAAACCTCCAGCGAGGCATTGGTTTGAGAGACTACAGCTCTGGGACCGAGGAGAAGAAAAGTCGTTATCACTGACACACCACCACAAGGCCATGAGGGCATGCCGTGCAATACAAGGACCTGTTTTGTTTGTCAAGTGGAATGAAGACAGCAGCAGCAGGACAGGGGCAGGGAGGGAGGCGGGACCAACAGTGAGCGGGTCCAAAGTCACAAAGGAAGGGATGGTAGTGGTTTCCCAAGCATGGAAGTTAAAGTGCCCCAGAGAGGGGAGCACTGGAGGTATCCCTGTTATCTCTGAGGCACCATAAGAAGAGGCGAGACTTTCTCGCTCTTAACACCAGTAGGGAAACTGTTCTCTTCTCCTCTTTTTTTATTTTTATGTGCATCCTACTGTAAGCCATGTGAACCGGAGAGTCTCCGAGATAAAGAAGGAACTACTGCATGCATGTAGACAACCATAGTCCTCAGTCAGTGTTAATATGGTCCAGGTCCAGTCTATGTATGTCAGAAAAAAAAAAAAAGAATAGAAAAAGAGAGACCCAGAGTCCTAAACTCTCTTGACTGTTCCAAAAATGAATCGTCCCTTCGGAGTCCACGCTGTAGCGTCCCTTTAACGAAGCCCCCAGCTGATCCGAGCGCAGGTTTAATGAAACAGAACTGGTGTTAGAACCGGGAGTCGAGCTTTACTGATCCCTCCCTGTTGCCTTGTTTAAACCTGGCCTGTATGGATCCTGTCAGGGCTGGCTCCCTGTCAGACCAACATGTCAAAATGTTCATCTGTGGAATACTAAGATTCCACTTTGTCTTATCAGCAGAACCAGTCAGCTGGTTACTAACTACAACTTTGCATTATATCTCCTCCTGATGAAGTGGAATGTATTAGCCTATTAGGACTTGGTCAGATGTTTAATACGTCTTCTAACAATTAAATTGGGGACTCTGCAGCCAGGCCAGTAGGAAGATCTTATGTTTTATTACTAAACTGTGATGAAATCTCTTTATAGATGTTTCAAATTGCAAAGGATTCTATGAATATATTTGAAATATATAAGAATATTTCATTATTTATTATATATATTTCAATATAAGCATATATAAATACATGAGCTATATTTATTGTTAATTTATGTACAAACTGAAATTCTCAGCGCTCGAGACAAGTTAGAGTTTCTAATGAAAAGTGTTTTCTTCTAAGAAATGCATGCCAGATATGTCTGTGACATGTCCAGTGTGCAAGTATGACTCTGCATTTGCGCAATTATATTTGCGCTCTTTCGTTTGGGTGTGTATGGGTGGGTGTCTGTGTGTGAGAGAATGAGAGAGAGTGGGTTCCGTGTGCGTGCTTACACATGTGTGCTGGAAAGTGTGACATTTTTACCATTCCACACTCATATGTCTCTTACTTTTACTCCTTTTATTTCTGGCTCTCTGCAGCCGGACTGCCTTTTTTTTTTTTTCTGCTTATGCATTTTGGGTGTCGCCTTTCATTATAGTCCCACATTGGTGCAGTTTACAGTACGAAGAGTTTTGTTCCAAAGTGATTCAGATTCATGTGACGAAAAAATGAATCCCTGCTTCCATAAAGTGATTGGTTGCAAAAGTAAACACATTATTTAAAGTGTTTCTTAGAAGAAGGTCACAGTTGTACAAAAACTTTTGATTTGACATCTGTGGGCGAGTCCTTCGCTCATGTTACCACTTCAGTACATTAGCCTGATCTCTATTGGTTAAATACAGACCTTTAGACATCTTGACAAAGGCCAGTGATGATTTGCACCAATTCTGTGTCTGTAAAAGTTATTTAGAGAATAGAAAAACAAGACAAATCATAGAAAACTTGACATCTCTAAATTTAAGTTCTAACTAATAAAAAAATAATGCATGTAGTTTTAATATTGTTTCTCAAAATGTCAAAATATCCCTTTAAATTTTGATTATTGTAATTCTTTCCATTCACAGTGTCTTTCTAGGTGCAATAAAAGCATGAAACACAACTTACTGAACCAAAAGTTAAGATTAGAATTGCACCATCACACTTTCTCACATCGTTTTGAATGGAGTTTTTCATCATGTAGCTATATATATATATATATATATATATATATATATATATATATATATATAAACATACACTTATATGTATGTAAGGAATGAGATGCATTGTTTCAGAGTTTCTTAAAAAAGGTCCCAGTACTGCACTTTCAAGGATTTGGAACGAAAGTTATTCCTTCTCATAAAGTAAAGCGCTTTAAGGCCTTTTCAGGTAGAGAATGACATAACTTAATGGTTTGGTTTTGAGATGAATGTAGAGGAAATGCCACAGTGGAGATTTATAACTTCCAAAATCCTTCGAAGTGTTTGAAACTGGGATCTATACTCAACACATCCTGTGTAAAAATTAGGATTTCATCTCTATTTTCATGATAAAGCAGGAAAAGGTGAATTTTGAATTCTGCTCTACAGTATGTTATGATTAAACAAGGAGAGAAGTTTAAGGGCTGGATATCTGATGTGTTTACTGTATCTTTAAAGAAGGCACAGAGTCATGATAACAGAGAGGGATATAAAAGTCTGAATGTTTAAAATGATGTACTTTGTTCACTTTTAAAATGGTGATTACAGAGAAGCTGTGCTTCATGTAAGTAATGGTGAAAGAATGTCATGTTTTCCTCAATGGAGATATGACTGAAATGCTTTAAAGGTATGCTTTTAAGAGTTTTCACTCAAGCTGGTGTTTTTCATTTAAAAAGTTGAATATTATCAGATAGGCATGGGCCAGGTTGACACTCATGTTTCATAACATTGATATCAGAATTTTGCATTTACAGTACCATGGTATTTACTCAAACAAGTGAAAACAAATTCATATGATTTTATTTATCTTAATTACGGTAAAGTGAAAAGGAAAAAATTAACTGCTAAATTATAATGCTTAATATTATTACAGTTATAATAATGTTGTCCTTAACTTTATTTATTTTAGACTAGCAAAAATACAGATTAAACATGCAAAATATAGTGGTATGTTTTAAATTAAACAAGCTGATTGCCTGGAGTTTGAAACTTTTTTTCTGTTGAGATAATAGAGCAACACATCAATAGAAATATTATATTAATCAGTTGTATTAATTGGTAAGTTGGTGGAGCTACCTAACCTGTAGGGCGACCTGCACTCAGATGCTTAACCAAAATGTCACATGTAGCCTGTTGATTACAGCCTTTATAAAATTATTGTCAAAAGCATGACAAGTGGAGCTCCTCGGGTTTCCACATTGGTTGTCTGCAAGTTTAAATTGGTCTTGATAATTGAGTGAGATAAATGTCCAGTAACCTTTGTTTAGCCACCTGACCAGCAGTGCACAATAAACAGGTGGCGAAATGGCACCATTTAATCCAAATCTTATGCTTAACCCAGGAGATGTTTTTGGCATCTCCTAAAAAAAAATATTTTAAACTGCAGGAATAATATGATGGAGGGTTCTAGCTGTTTCAAAACAGTACATTTTTAAAACCATGGTACACTTTGATTTACGTAACCTGTCCATGCCTATTCTAAGAGCTTGATTTTGATATAGAAAACTATAAGGATGTATTTGCAACATGTCCACAGTTATGCAAAATTTGTCTTGCACAAATCCAAATAACAATCAATCCCAGTTTGCTTTCAGTCTCTCTTTTCTAGCTTGCACTCGCACAGTTAACCTGTGTCAAATGAATGATTGTATGGTTGCTGCTGTGTAACACAAGTGGCCAGAGTTAGTTCTTCTGTTTTTCTTTTTAGTTTTCATCACAGATAACTAACAGATTGTGTGGTTTGACCTCTTTAAAAAAAACGACCACTGATCAACACTCCTGGGAAAACGCTCTTCTTCAAGTGTGTCTTGAGAAAACATGCTCTGCTGTATTTTTTTAAAGCGATTCTACTGTATTATTGTCTTTTTGTTTTTTTTTTATTTTAGAATATATTTTCATCTCTAGACTATTAGTGAGATGCATACACAAGATGAATATACTGCAAGTATATGTTGTGTATATCTGCGGTGTGGACACAATCACACCGACAAAAGAATCGGGCCTGCGCTGCGCGTGGGTTTTACTTGCTGATGACTTTGCCTCATAGAAACCGAAAACAGAAGTGGCTTTCTGGTTCATGTGAAGTAGAGACTGGAAGTATGAATAAAGATTTTTAAACATCCAAACAAACCTTGATGATCCTCCTTTTATTATCATTTTAAAATTCCTTTATTTTATAGGACATTTAAAAGGGAACCTCAGATTTTGCAAAAGGCTGCACAGAAGGTAACGTGTGCATCGCCTCATGAGACTCTACAGAGAAAGAGTAGAACTGGATTGCATGACATATGAGTATGAAATATTAATATGTCACTGTGGTGTGGAATAAAATCTAATTGTTAATTCATGTTGTTCTGAAAGCTGTTATTTTGGGAATTGCAGCTTTTACCAGTCAGTGACGGTAGACTTACTTTCCTCACTTGAAATGCTGTTATATAGACTGGCTGTTAATATCTACTGTATATACTGTGTTGTTAAAGCCCATGTTGTGGACTAACCTGACAATTTCTTTTTTTAATACAGAGATAGAGTCATATACTATTTAATCATTTAAAATATTTGAAAAGCTATTTCATACAGTGAAACACTGTATGAAAGTTTTGCATACATACCTTTTTTTTAAGCCTCATTAATGATAATGATTTCCTTTTAGAATCAATGAAAGCACAACACTTGAAGTTAAAATATTATATTAGAGCAAAATCTGCCCCAAAAAAAAGCCTTGACAGAATGCGTGTTCTAATCAAATGACTTTATCTTTTAATTCAATAAAAAAGACACTTATGGTCCTACAGTATTACATTCTGCATATTATTGTTGTGTGTTTCATTTAAAAGACCAATAATACAAATCTGCAGTTTAGACTTAGACTTAGACTCAACTTTATTTATTCCTTGTGATTACTCCTTCAGGGAAATTCTTGTTCCAGTAGCTTATATAGAGTACAAAGAGTTAAAGCAATATGCAATTAAAGATAAAAATACACAGAAAATATAAGAAAAAAAGAGTGTATACAGTACAAAAAAAAAACATTTAAAAAAAGTAATGTTTCAATGTCAATGGAATATGTTTCCCTTAGATATAAAAATATCTGCACAGTAGAAAGCTAAGGGAAGACTACATAGTAGTTGACTTGGCTAATTGCACTTGCACTGCAGAAATGTACTTACCTTATAAAATAAGGAAAAAATTACCCGGGCTACACAGTAGTTGGCATGTGTTATTGCACAGTGAGAAAAGAATATTTTACATGAGTGACAATAGGTAATATTTTACATGAGAGGTCCAAGGAGGGGTGTGCTGACTCTAGTGCCTCTTCATTCCAAGGTTTGTCCTATCTTATTTTCCTGACAGCAACATATAATGTCAAAAAACTGTATTTTGCAGTAAAGCCACCATATGTTATCCCAACGGGGGTTTAGTTGGTTAAAGAAAGAAAACATAAAGTTCTGATAACCTGTTGACTAAAATGCTAATAGTTTCCAAAGATATATAACGCTCAACATGCAGCTGTTCTTAACACTAGTGTTTGTCGTCTCTTTTGATATACATCACGGCAATTTGGCAATTATCATATTTCAGAGATGTTAACAGTATGTAAGAAAAAAATGTTCTGCTTCTCAAATTACTTTAAAGAAACAATTGAATAATAAAAATGTATCCCTGTTCTTTTGGTAGCTCTCTTCAACACAAAGCTGTTTTAGGATATTTAAGCAGAATGTGATGAGCAAGTAAAATTTATCTTGGATTATATATTTGGTCATGGACACATTTGTTAGACCGCTCTTGTTTCTGCCGTATTGTGAGGTGGCAAAGGATTAAAGACATCAGCAGGGGCCTGTTCAAAGAATAGATTTCAATGATACTGGCTAAAATAGGCTACAGAGAGAATTGGCAGCTCGCCTGCAGGGAGGGTGGCCTTTTGGAGGATGCTCTCATTAGCACTGACTTATCGGCAGCATTCTGACACCAATGTTAGGGGGCTTCTTGTGGGCTTCAGCTCAGTGTTTAACACTAGCCTTCCTGACATGCTTCACTGAAGCTCCACAGCCTGGGTTTATCTACACAGCTTTGCTCCTGGATCACTGACTTCCTCACCAATAAGGTCTCAGGTGGAATAGGGAAACACACATCTATTCCACTCATTCTCAACACCGCAGGGTTGTGTTCTCAGCTCTGCCCTCTTCTCATACATGACTGCTTGGCCATCCACCACACACCACTATGGTGGGTATCATATCAAACCAAAAAAAAGCCGAAACAATGATGAGCCTCTTTACAGAGAGGAGATCTATAATCTGACACAACAAAGCTCCAAGAACAACCTCACTCTGAAAGACAGCACAACCAAGATTGCTATTGTAGATTGCAGAATGTCGGGAAGGAATAAACACACCACTAAGTTTTGGCAGAGGCCTACTTTTAAAGGGTTAACCCTTTATCATACATATTTCCTTTTTTGGTAACTTTGATATAAAAACTCATTTGCAGCAAACAAGGCAAAATCATGAGATCAAATGTGGTCAACAGGGTCTGCTAGGCCCACATCTTTCTTAATGCTGCATAAAAAAAAACACCTGTTATCTAACATTGCTTACTGCGGTTGATACGTTGTCTCCTGTTAATAAAGTTTTTTTTTTTTTTAAAGCTAAGTGTTCCCTCTTGGGACCAACTAGAGAATTGTGCATGTTCATTTTTTTTTTTAAGTTTCAAAAATTAGCGAAGATCTTCCACTATACCTTTAAGTTAAAAAGTAAAACAAATTAAATTCATGTGTCAGCAGTAATGTTCTGAGGGTTATGTTGTTTGAAAAAAAAATATTGTTTCCTTCTGTAATTAATTTCATGAATTTCTAATAGAAGAATTCTTTAGAATTTTAATCATAAGGGCAATTGACTGTTTTTGTTAAATTTCATTTACCCTGATTTTAGCCCTTAAAGTACTCTTTTTAACGTTTCAAATATCAATGAATTTCTGAGTGCCCTTCAGAAGGGTAAAATTATCTGGAGAACTAGATAACTTTTACAGGGCCATGGAGGAAAGCCTCCTGTGTTCAGTGAGGTTCAGGAGCTGCACAGCACTGGAGAAGGACTTAGCCCAGGTGGTGAGGACAGCATAGAGAGTCGAAGGGATATAGGGGATCCACTTTTCCTCTTGATGTGTCTTATAATTCTTATGAAAGTTATTTGTGTCATTTTGTCTGTGTTCTATTTATGTGGATTCTAACTGTAGTGTTCTGACAGAAATTATTATACGTCCATAATAAGAATGAAGAGTCTTGAAACGGGGTGACAGTATGAATTGACCATGAAGAGACAGAAACATGAACTTAAATACATCTGAGATAAAAGGAAACTATATGAAGCAAAGATTGGTGTCATCAACAGAAACACAGAATGGCTCCAACCAATGCAGTTATTATTATTTTTTTTTTGTCATGTTCATTGTTTTCTGCAGATAATAGACTTTAGAATAAAAAAAAATACTATATATACATATATACATACAGTTAGAGGTACATTAGTGGTGACATGAATTTAGTAAATGTGGAGCAGCGGAGAGGGACGAAAGAATGGCTAACATCTACAAAATAGCTCCAAAGGAAAACATAAACAGCTGAAAAACTATTATACCTCCTGATACCTGTCACCAGATTGCAATGTCCCTGGTATTTCAAGCCTGGATAAAGGTTCACTGTTGCCTCCAATAGACTGATAGGGCAGGTACCAGAACCTGGCATTGGTTCACAGTTTACATTTTACGTAATCCCACAATGTTGCTGCCTAATGCATCTTTAAAGCACCATCTTTGTCTGACAGCCTTTTAATCACATACTAGTGACTGCCTGGTGCATTATGACATTACTTCCTAGAGTAAGATATAATCTCTTTTCAAATTACAACTTTATCATTCTGAGACCCATCATCAGTCTGCTACTGTCGTAGACTGGTGTAGATCAGGATTAAAAAAGAGGCAAGAGATGGAAAGGGAAGATCCTGGTGTAACAGGAAAAAATCTGGACAAGAAGTGACTATCTGAGAGAGAGAACACGGAGGAGGGGGTTGGTCAGAAATGGGATAAAGATGAGAGATATGCCAAAATATGGAAACAGGAGAAAATTGTTAATTTTCCAAAATAAGGCATAACACAAATCCAACATCCCAAAGATCATGACACTATAGCTACTTACCAAATCAGAGCATTTCAAAAACCACATCTGTCTGATATGATTGTATTTTTAGGATCTTTATCTAGCTATGACTGTTGTGTTTTTAGCCAGAACTTCCTGACGTTCTGACTTTTTCACAATAATCTGACCCTTTTTATTGAAATCTAAATGTGTTCCAATTTTCTTATAAAATGTGGATCATTGGAAGAGGGAATAGTTTGGAAAAATTTACTTAAATCCCACCGCAGGCTTAATGAGTCTGAATAATTTAAACAATATTATGCTGAGACACAAATCTGTCAAAACTGCTTCTCTCTTGACGCTACTTGACGCATCTCATGTTGATTTGGTTTGTTTTATTATTGTTGTTGTTGTTGTTTTAAACACATGAAATATATTTCCAGTGTTTTGATCCTGGAAATACACCATCCCCCTTGAAAGTCCATTAGTCCTAGGATGGGTGAGGTCGACGCGTCACTGTAAAGAATCAAGGGGGATGGGACACTTTGCAGCTCAGCACCTCAGCCCAGCCTCCTGGATCCAATACTGCAAAAACTGATTTTACAAAAAAGGGTTGGGAAAGTGGGGGGAGGCGGGGGGGTGAGTCCCCTCAATTTCCCCCCGTGGCTGCTCCGCGGAGGGCGGGGCTCCATGGATGCGTTTGACAGCTGCAAGCCAAAAAAAATGTGCAGCGCAGAGGAGGACAGAGAAACCATGCCGCTGCTCCAAGACAGCCGCGCTATCATGAGGAATATGATAGAGTTGGACCCTCTGTAGTTTGCGTTTGCCCTCCTAAACCTGGGCGAACCGGACTTCAGAAAACAACAGTTTAAAGCTGACATTTGGATTTTTATTATCATTAATTTTATTGATTGATTGTTAACAGCAGACTTTATTTGGGTGGAGATGCAGCGTGCGCTCTCCTTCCCAGCAACCGTTGAGCGCAGTCGGACCAAGGAGCGCCTGGAGGCCAGTCTGGCTGGGCTGTGTGAGCTGGAGCTGCGCAGACAGAGGCAGGAGCGTCTGGTGCTGGGAGCACTGGCTCTGGGTGAGTCTCTGGCCCAGGATGGCTCCAGAGGAGAACTGGAATGCTTCAGCAGCTGGGGCCAGGAAAACCTGACGCTGAGGCGTCAGTTGGTAAGGAGTTTCTAAGTGTCATTATTTTTTCCTAAACTGAACGGTTAGATTTCCTTGGTCTATTAAAAACATCACCTCATCTGTCTTTAGTCATGTCATTTGTAGTCCTTACACTTTTAAATATCTGAAAGCCTGCAGAGAATCTCCATTGTGATCTGTTTGACCGTTGGATGGACTCTGCGTTTGGGCCAGCGCCTTTTGTGCTGAGGTGACCTCTAACTGCAAAAAAGTTACCCAACTTGATAAATAGGCTCTCTGTATAAAAGGCTGGAAAGCGTTTCTGTGCTTTGGGTTGAGATTTATGCCTGTGGGGAGCGAAATCAGGGGGAGGAGCAGCCGCCGCTTGTGGCATAGACCCTCTATTTAATGGCCCTTTGTTCCCTCGTTGAAGAGTTTTGTAGGTCTCACCCCTTAACAAGCTCTTATTTGTGCTTTCTGAATATCATAAGAATTACGAAATTCGCGCCTGAGCTCGTAAACTGTGAAAAATCCCAAAACATGACTGTCTTTTTTTGAATATGTACTTTTGACGCAGAGCTTTTGGAAAGTTGCGCCTATATGCTGCGTCGTTAAACAATACCAGGATTATAAGAGTAGAAAACTGGGTTAATCAAGACAAATAATGGTTTCAATGCGAACAAACAGGAGATTGTAGCTCCTCCAATCAGCTTCTTTTCTGTCTAAAGAGTATTAAAGACTCTCAAGAGGTGTATTTTCTTCCAAAAAACAAAAACCTGACAAATCTCATCTATATGAATAGATTAAATATAGACTTCTATAAAAGAAAATTCAAAAATAGAAACTGCTTATTAGGTTAAGAATGTATAAGTCAATGATTTTAGAGGAGGAATGAGGTTCAAACCTATTATCTGGTGTTAAAGGCTATAGGCAAACAAACTTTTGACAGATTTCAACACATTACTATATAAGCTTGAAAAGGTTATATGTGTTTGATCTGCTGTTTGACTCCAATTACACCTAACTAATGGGATGATAAACTTAAGAAAAAGCTGACTATAATATTTATCATATTCACAGTTTTTGCCATATGTTAGTGTTTGTGAATATCTACTAATCAATGAAATAAAAAAATGCAGTACTGCAGGTGTGTATGTGCAGTGAAGCTAACTCATTTTTGAACTCCTTATAAGTCTGTAAAGCAGCTGCTCTGCAGGAAACGTCTTTAAGAATTGAAAGTCATCCTAATGGAATGCGTTGACCTTATTACGAGGCTTTTTAACGGCTTGACTCTAAATGATCCCTGAAGATCTTTGATAATGAAACCTGGCTATCCTAATCCGCTTTGGTGCTCTTCACAAACTACTTGCTTGTGTTTTATTGTTGCCAGATTGTACTAAGAGCCATGCAGTGTGGTCACATAGACATCAAACCTTTTGCTGCTATGTAGCATATAACTAATCTAATATAACTAAGAGTGAATGCAAGTAAAAATGTGAGATGAATATTAAGGAATAAAAATAAGAAACCTAAACTGAGGTGTTGGATCACTTAAATGCACTAATCATTGGTTGTGTGCTGTGTCCAGCAGAGAAATGTATTCATTTGTCAGTTTGATTTGAGATATAGGTAAAATCAGTTAAAAATGATGTGGGATGCATATGTTTTTTTGAGTAAAAAATAAAATAAGCTTTAGATTCATGAAAATATCTTGCAAAGATATTGCCTTTTAGAGATCAATGCAATTACTGGGTGACAAATCTTTATTTTCACTGTACTGTAACACTGGATGTCGGGCATATTTGGGATCTAATCCAATGTGTTTATAAAGTATTTATAAACTTAATTTAAAAAATAGGTTTATCAAGAGTGATATACTGAAAAAATATGATAATTGTAACAAAAATTATAATAAAACATTAATGAAAATAGAGCCATTTAGAGGAGCATCTCAATACACAATATGACTGCATCCATTGGAAAAAGATTTGTTCCTTAAAGGGAATTCTAAACAGGAAGCACAGATGTCTGTCTAACAATTAAAGCTCCCAAAGTTTAGGAGCTACAATAAGAAAGATAGATCTCCTTTAAGTTTCTGTCTTGTTTTGGGGAGAACTAAAAGCAGCTGGTTGAGTAATCTAAGGGACTGGAAGAAAGACGAGCCTGGAGCAAAACAGTGAGTCTTAGATGAGCAAGGGCGTTTAAGCCTTTATAAGCCAACATCAGGATTTTCTCATTCACTCCACGGTGCATACGGAGGAAATATAGAGAGGACAGAGCTGGAAAGATGTGGGCAAAGATAGGGAAAAATACAGGCATCCGCATTTTGAAAAAGCTGAAGGTGTGAAAGTGAAGCCTGACCAACCCTAGCATAACGTGCATTCCAGTTGTTAAGATAAACTGAGATAAACATGTACTATTTTCTCCAGGTAATGCATGGAGAAAACCAGCTGACGTTTTGCCATTTGTCTTATGTAACTGGAAGAAACTTCTCTGAAAAGTAAAGCTAATGTGTTTATCAGATATCCCAAAAAAATCCAGCTCCATAATAAATCCCAGGTTTGTTGCATTGTTTGATGTACAGCTCCAGGCAACCACTATTAGTAACTGGGTTGTGTAAGGTTCAGACTGTATCGGCCTGTGTGAAACAACCTCTGTTGTCCTTTCATTTCAAACTTTGAAAATGCAAAGCTATCCAAGCTTCATGTCCTCAATACAAGATAATAGGGTTTGATGGAGCATGGTTTATTAGGTGTCTAAGGAAAGTAAATCTGGCAGTCATCTGTAAGGCAGGAATAACCATTTCTTCTACGAATAAACTCCAAAGGGATCAGATACAAAGAAAATAAAACAGATCCAGACTTCTTAGAAATCCAAGAACCATGTTTTAGAATGGCTAATCACAAGACACAGCTTAGAAAATCTGCATTGCCTTTGGCACAAGCACTACAGAAACATTAAGCAAGGCAAAAAGAGAGACAGATGAAAGAAAAGCTTTGGTCAGAGTGTGGTGAGAAAGAATTTGCCCTCTTACAGATTTTTCTCTGTCTTACTGTTTTTCTCAAACTGAAAAGTTATGAGTTAAAAAATTTGAATCTAAAAAATTAATCAGAACAAGTACAAAGATTGGTTTAAAATTATGATTTTAGTCATATGGGGAGGGGAGGGGCTCGACAAACCAAATTAAACCTTAAAATAATAATTGAACCCCAACTAGTCAAGTCTAGACTTTGACTGGGCAATTCCAAACTGTGCAAAGGTGAACATGTTGGTATGCTTTGTAAAAAAGTCCTCATGCTTAACCCAAGTATGCTTGAGCTTGAGGTCACAATCTGCTGGAGGGTAATTGTCCTTTGCAACTGTTTATGACAGATAAGAATTCACGATTCCATAAATAACAAGTTTACCAGGTCCTGAATTAGCAAAATAGTCCATCACAATGCAAATAAGATGCTTCTGAACAGATCAAATGTGTAAAGACACTTAAACCAAAAGGGAAAGTTCATTAGTGGTTGCCAAGATATGTGCTATCTGAATAGTGTTGGCAGTAAGGAAGGAGGTAGGAAGAGGAAAGTAAATGCACTGTTTTATCTTTTCTTTTGTGTACCTTTTCTTCTTATGTTTTCCTAAAGTGATTAGTATTATTCATATGTCTTTGCCACTAATCCATAAGGCTGTCCAGATTCAGCACAGCAGTCTACAGTTTCTTTCCTACCCAGGATAGCATTCTTACTGTTGTCACTGTGAAGTGTTAAGGGACAAGATAAGCTTTTAGAGGATAAAGGCTCTCAACATATTTTGCTGGGGTTTAGGTCTTGCAAATGGCTTGTTGCCCTTTCCAGGCATACAGATGACAGTAACTTTATTTTCATTTATTTTTATATTGCATTTTATTTTGGAATTATGTCTTGCTTTTGGCCCTTTATCCAACTCTGTGTCTTTAGATGGTTTTTTTATTGAAAGATCTCTTAATCATGCAGGACAGTTAAAAATCTAGGATGTTGTTATTCACCATAAACCCATTAAAAAACAAAGTGAATTTGGTTCACATTGGATCAATTTGTTTTTGTGTTGTTTTTTTGTTCTTTTGATAAATGAAATAGACATTCATAATCACCTATTTGTTTTTGATCTGTGTCTGATATTAAGCTGCACTGATTGGACAATCTAAGTAATTTAAGTTTACACATAAGAACAGACTCTGACTAAATCTGGCAATCAGGACAAGTGATGGTTGAAAATGTTGAGAGTTAAACTAAGCAAACTGGGCTAAAATAAACCAAATCAAGTCAAAGCAAAACCTGAAAAAAATAACCATGACAAAAGTGAGGGGAGAAATAAGCCCATATCCTTCTGATGCTACACAGCACCTAAGCCTTTTTATAAGGATGAAGGGCCAATACCGGTGTTTCCAATTAGCTTGCCTCCTGCACTCTCACCAATGGATAACTTTCTACTAACCTGGCATAAGCCAGATGGATGTAGAATTCAAACTGAACTACATTTATCAATCTGAGCAGCATCCTGTAGAAAGTGTTCAAAAAAGGGAGGGGAATTCTGTGCAATTCTTTGAGTGAGCTGATTGGGTATCTGAGTTTTTAGCCAATCACAGCCGCAGTAGCAGCTGAGACGTTTAAAATTCTTAATTTGTTTCACAGAGTTAACTGATAAATCAAACTAAACTAATGTAAAGACAGGACCTGCTGAAACATCTGATTTAGGAAGTGAGTTTGTTTGTACAATTATTTTATCCTATATCCAGATTTAAATGGGTAAATGATAACACAAATGCTTAAGTTTCAATGTTAGCAAACCTTCCTAATTGTTTAAACCTGGAACATCTTCACTGTCAGTTTACTTTTTGGTATAGAGAGCAAACGAGAAGGTTAAAGAAATTCTATTGCTGGGTTGGCTTAGCAAAGGTCCCTTTTATGAGTCTATTAAATGACGTATGGGGCCATTGATTGTGCAGAAATAATGCTTGTATTGTAGTTTAGATTTTAACATAAATTTAGAATCTAAATGCATGGAGTACATGCATT